CGTTATAATAAAAACTCAGGGAATATATATATATATATATATATAACCTAACCTGAATATATATATATATATATATATATATATATTGCACAAAAAAAAACACGAAATATTGACCTAATCGGAGCCTAATCCGACTTAACCTTATTTCTTATCCACAGAGGCCAAAACGTCTGTTGTCGTGGAGACCCTGGTGAGCTTTATCTGTACCAACCGTCGGCGCTGATCAACCACCATCAAGCGGCCGACTACAGTGGCCCGCCCAGTTATCGGTCGAGAACTAGCACCTTGCGGCAGGCCTGCCATCTAATTGATCCTGCGGCGATGATGATGGGCCCAGCGGCGACGGCCGGCAGTCATCACCACAGTCGGAATCCGTCGCAGCTGAGCGCCATGTCCGAGGCCGTAGGTGGCTGTGGCGGTATGATGACGGTCGCGGACAACAAGGTACCGCCGATGGACGACGGAGACGGCGGCGAAAGCGGCATCATCGCAGACGACGGCGTGCGCGATATCGTCGTGGTAGACGAGAAAACGGACCACATCGGTTGCGGCCCGGTGACCATTGTGCAAACCACGCCAGCCGCCAATCAACCTGGCACGGTTATCGTTACGGTGTCCAGCGCCAACAATGATGCCACCAACGTCCGATGCAGGGAAACCGAAATGGAAATATTGGCCCATCTGTGAAACGACGGTTATTATTTTCATATGACCGTCAACGTTCCAATACTAGATTATTATAATACCAATATTATCCACGCGCGCACAAACTGAATTTTATAGCCGTGTGTATTATTATCGTTTTTATCGCTAAACCTATATATTATTTTACGTTTATTATTATTTAGTCAGTTTTCGCTTTTACTTGTTTGTTAATTTGTTGTTTTATCGAACTCACGCTATTCGTACTCATTTTAAAACACCCGCCCACTAAGAAAAAAAAATTAAAGGATATAGCCGTCTAAAAGATATTTCAAACGTTCCTAATCGCGTTCGAATTTGATGATGGAACGCAATAATACCCAACATATATACAATAACTAGGTAAGTTTAAAAAAAAAAAATTAACAAAATACCATATAAATAGAAAGGTACCTGTTATTTATATAGGTAGGATATTTCTGCAGCGATTTAAAAAATCATATTGTCAATATTATAAGTAAATATAGCTATATATTATGCTATGGGGTACGATTTGTTTAGAATTTGTTTGTCCATCTCCAAAACCAGGATTTTTTACGAATAATTGTATAAGTTAAAAAATAAATACTCCGCGACGTTTACTGTAAAATCCTCATTAGAATTAATATGCGTCACATCGTTTTCTAGGGATTTTGATGATTAAACAATTAATATCACCATAATGAAAAACAGTGATGTATATTTATAAGGTTATTTTTTCGGCAATATCGTGATATAATTTTTGTAATGATATCTAACATACTATATAAATGCAAAAATTAAAGAACACTATTAGTAGTTTGTTAATGAAAGGATGGTTGACCAGCTGAAAAAACTTTGAAAGTGAGACCCTATAAGTTATCAGTCGCCTAAACGAATGATATGTAAAGTGAGGCATGTGAAAGAATTTAGATGGGTAATAAATGTTATTTTGTCTTGTGAGTCACCTATTTAAATCAATATCATTATTTAAAAATCGATGTACATAACTCCGTTAATAACAGAAATTTTAACGCTAATAATGTAATTATTATTTTGAACTGAGGATGGACCAAATTTGGATAGTTATTTTTGGATAAAAAAATGGATATTCTATTTGATCACGTTCTTAGTATTCTTCAACTTGTTCATAATTATGTTTTTTTTCTTTTTAGAACTAAAGAACTAAGGCCAATGAGTTTTCGAATAGAACACTTTAATGCATTTTGAAACATTGTTTCATACATGTTCCTAAAATATAAAGGATGTAAGACGTAGGTACTAAACATGATCAATAAAAGAAACATTTTTCAAAAAACATTCCGAACTCGTTGATATCTAGTCAGGGAAACGTATCAACCTTAAATTTATTAATACCTTGCTTGAGAATTTGAGATTATGACTGTTCATCAAATTATTGTTTTCTATGTTGAACACTTTGTTGAGAAAAAATATTTTCAACAAAAATATGATAAAGCAAAAATTAGACCTATCTCTATGTACGACTATAAACTATGAGAACACATATCGTTCAAGTCAATAATATAATGTTTTTAAAATATATTATTAAGTAATGAAAATAATTGATAATTTGTACCAGTCTCAAAATCTAAATATGAGAAGGGGCCCAGTAATCATTTGCCCACCTTCCAACCTACACAGTCCGTCATTGTAATAGAACGTTGCCTCGACCCACAAACGGCAGAGTGGCGAAAGAGACATAAAACTAAAATATCTCTTTAGCAAACCGGACTTAGTGTACAAAATTAAGAGGGAAAAACTGGAGTGGGTGAGACATGTATAGAGAAAACAAAGAAAGAGAAGTATGGTTAAGGTAATGTTACATTAAGAGAATACAAAAGAGAAATCACAGCTGGTAAAATTGAATGACAATTAAGGTAGCGGATTTTAATCTGAATACAGATTAATGGAGACTAGTGGAAACGCATAACTGATGTAGAGACAGATTTATTTAGATGGTTGGTCTAAAACGCCGTAACAAGAAAAAGTTTGTTACCCTGATTAATAGCATTATAAAATTAACACAAAAACAAATAAACTTTATTTGCAAATTTAAACCTAACCTTGTTGACTAATCAGATAGTTTATTGAATGTTTACAAATAAATTATACCTCGTTATTTTCCTGTACATTTATCCTATGATTATATACGTAACGTCACTTTTTTTTTCATTCTGGTGACATTAAGGGTCAAATAGAACATGCAAAAATATGATGTGTCGTATAAATTCGTATAAGGACTTTACAGGAAATATCATGAATATTATTTTAAAAATTTCCACAAATATTCAAAAATGAAATGTAAAAAAATCAACTCACTTTTTCAAAAATAAAAAATTACACTTAAATTATTTTATTTTATTTGTATTCTTGTTTTTTTGGACCTACCCAGAAAAGAAATTCTAGCTACGCCTCTGCACCGAACTTTATAGGTAGATAAACGTTGACTAGTTTTCTCGTTAATTTCAGAAATATCGTGTGTATTTTACTTTTTTTTCCGACCGAGTTTAAATGTATACAAATCGCTATCGTAAACAAGTGTATTACGAATTCAGTTAAGAACAAAAAATATGATTTACCCATAGTAATAATAATAATGCCTACATAAAAATATACTCTTTTCGACACTCAAGGTTGGGTCTCTTTTTTCATCGCATAACTTATATTCCTAATAGACATGCTCATCGAATGAGCTCAACTTATAACCGCTATTTTCGAATACTGTCATTTTACGAGTGTGTTCTATATTATTGACTCTTAATATTTTTTGTTTATATTTATATATCACTAAACCAAAGGGTATGTTTATTTTAATTTTATTATTTAATAATTGTGGGGTAATTAAATCGATTACGATGAAGTTTTCTACTGTTTATTATTTCGATTCAATTCGCAACGTTACAAATTATAATAAGTACAGGTAAGTATACTCAACAAAAATAATATTATACGCTCTACTGTGCCAATGATCGAATGCAAAACGATTACGGTAGAATTCATTTTCATAATTTTGTAGATTCGTTCGTATAGGTATTTGGTCCGTTTTAGTATCCAAAATACAAGAGGTCGACGTTTGTAATTATAAACGAAATATTTTAAACAGTTTAAATTTAAAATTAGATAAATACATGTATTGTTTTATTAACTAGGTATATTACTCAAATAATAACGAGAACCTATATATATTATATATTATAATATTATACAATAATAATTAATATTATTGTCAACAATTTTTTTTAATATTATATATTATGTACCAATATAATATATACAGTTACCTCATAAATAATTAAAACTATATTTTATAAATATGATGATTTTTTTTCTAGTTGTACCTACTATAGTTATTATTTATCGGTGTTCATGTTAAAAAAATAGGTATAAAATCGGCTCTACTCCAAGGTATAATGCGCGAATATTCGCGGAGTTAAGATAATAAATAAAGCTCAGATAAAACTGGTAAAAATGTTTATAATTCACTGCGACCTTATACAGGTAGATACTTGAATAGACTTTTATGAACTGTTGTTAAATTATTGCATTATATAATATTAAATATAATATATTATATTGTTAAGTAAATACGTCATGTTTTTTGTTAACCATATTCATAGTTAAGGTCTCGTGAATAAGATTTTGGATGTGATGTACCTATACCTATTCTAAGTTATTGTAAACATAATATAATATTATACATTAGTATGTTTTAATTTATGTATTCGTATGCAATTGTACAAAGTTATGTGATTATAGTAAATGTATAAACAAATTTAATAAAATGAGATTATACAATCATTATTAATTTATGTATATTCATGTATGTATTTATAGGTATGCGTCGCCAATTATTTTGTAAAAAAAAAAATATTAAAATTTTAAATCAAAGATTACTGACCATAATTTTTATTTAAAACGTGAATAAAAAATATTTTGATGATTTCAGATTTGTGACTATTACTAATTACCAGGGCTAAAATTTATATGCAACAGCATGTTTTTTTTGCGACATCTGATTATTGATTTTTTAAATAATTTTCACGAATCACCTCATGATGAGATAAGTGGTGGTGTTTTTATTTTGCATATTTTTGCATAATTTGGATATAATCCATATTATTACATATATTGAATAAAACGAATATTATTGCATATTTCGATTATAAGAATGCGAAAAATACATGTTTCGCAATATATTTCGTAATTAATATTTATAATTTAATATTAATATTTCGTATTTAATTCTAGCCCTGCTGATTAAAGTATAAGACTTGATTTTTTGTCAAACATAAATGTTATTTTTATAAATACTATTCTATGGTACAATAGGTATGCGATAAAAATTGAATAGTTTGACAAAGAAATACTTCATGAAAGTCTATAAATTATAAAAAATGCTAGGAATCGACTTTTTGAGTGCAACGGAAGAGTCGCAGATAAATTTGAAAACAAAATATCTCTAGTTTTACAAAAAAATAAAGGATTTAAAACTCTACAATCAATAAATAAAATATTAAATGGCGAATCAAACGAGGACAATTTCAGCTGTAATTTAACACCAGGACAAATTTCTTAATTTAAATATACGCTAACTACATCATGTGACGTTGAATGGAGCTTCAGTCAATATAATTCAATACTACGATCCAATCGCCGATCATTTAAATTCGAAAATTTAAAAAAAAATATGTTGTCGTAGCATGTAACACACATATTTCCACTATTGAATGTGAATTATAAATTTTATTTCCAAATTATTTTATTTTATTTTATTTCTCAATAATATTATATTAAGTCAAACGGCCAATCACTAATATATTTCAATAAATAAATATTTTTTTTGTAACTATATTTTTGTGCTTATCTTATAAAAATTTAAATGCATATTTTTGCATATTTTGGTAAACAAAATTCATATTTTACAATGTTTTATTGCATACAAATTCTAGCCCTGCTAATTACTATATAAGGTATAATTCATGTCAATATAAAATAATTTTAAGATTTAGTTAGGTATTATGGTTTGGTGTAGTAAAACAAGAAGCAGTAGTAAGTATAGTTTTATGCAATTTTAAATATTTACATTTTTCTACTTATCTACTTCTAATTTTTAAATTGATATGAATTTGAATACTTTTAAGTCTATAAATTTTCATTGTTTCAAAAATATCATTAAAATTGACTACACACAACCCTTTAAACATTGATAATCTGACCTCAACTCTGTTCTCTATAGTCCTCTTATGGTTTCATAATAACAATTTAAAAAAAAAAGCTGTTTTAGGATAATGAGGATAGTTGCAACCACTGTATAGGTAATTTAATGTAGATCTGTAAGCAACAATTAACCATTGCTAACGAAAAAACGATTTTGAGCAGAGTTACAGTTGATAGTGATGCTATGTATATATATATATATATTTTTATTAATAATATTTGTTTATTGCACCAATTTGCCCAGTTTTCCTTGTTTTTTCCCAGTTGTTCACATTTGTTGGGAGAAATCCCGGGAAAATCAAAAAAATGACCTCACTAAAGTACCTGTCCAGTCAGATTTTCTTTCAGAAAAAGTGATATCATTATAAATTGGTGCAAGATCTCTGGTAGAAAACTTGTCCAGAGAAAAAAAACATCTTTGTAAAACCATAAGCTTTCTTCGCTCCACTCAGATTCAAAAATCATCTATATTAATGATTTATTATTATCATATAATTTCAATGATATTACAAAATTCATTGCGATTAGAATATAATATGCAACAATTATTAATAATGGTGTATCAAGATGTAATTCTTACGAAGAAATTAAGAGAAAGGTTCAAAGGCAATTAACAAAGAAGAGTGGAGTAAAATATTTAACACATCATTTACAAAACTACCATTGTAGTAAACAGAAATTGAAATGCTTATACAACGAAAAATTAATGATGACTCATAATCATCACTAGGGTAGTATTAAACAAAATACATATTTTCCTAATAGGTATCTATAGCAACAAACATTACACCTATTACTAGTTTAAATCAAATTTCAGCCAACTTTATAGTTTAGTAGTGTACTTATTGTAACAAACAAATCAATATAAAATGTAGAAGACCAATATTTGTAGTATAAATTAAAAATTTAGGTAACATTTAAAATCGCATAATATGAATGAACAAGAAGATAAAATGGATTCGTTTACTATGAAAAAACTGGTAAATAAATAATTTTAAGTACATATTTTAATTTATATTAATAACAAATTAAAGTTTTGGTGAATGATTAGATGTGATCATTTAACAAATCCATGAAAAATTATCTTGAACAACAATATAAATTAAATTATTTAAAATAGTAGATAGTACAAAATAGCATACAAATAAATAACCTTATATTTAAAAATGTACAACACATAAATAACTTATTCTTGAAAACCTGCATGATTAATAATATAATTTTATAGCAGCATAAATAATTAACTACCTATTTAATACAACATAATAATTAAACATTTTAATAAACTAAGCAGATAGGAAAGAAAGATCAATAAATATCATTAGACAGGTTTTTAAAAATTTAAATTTCAAAATGTTCCTACTACTTCCAATAAAATCATATTTATTTGTTACAAATAAATAAATAATAATAATAATTAATAATACATTTAAAAATTATTTTATGGTTTTTTAAAACAGTCATTATTAATTTAAAATACCAAATTGGAGCATAAACTAACCTATAAGTATTATTGTGTAACAATGGCTATAGTATAACTTCATAACATGTAATAAAATAATAGTATATAATATATAAATGACGAATATGTAGGTACCCAAAAAAAAAATTTGAGGATTCATACAAAATACACAATAATCAATATTACCAATATTATCAATATTTATAAAACAAATATTAAATTTATATAAATAAATTACACAACTATTAATTTTCGGAGGAAGGTAGATAAATGATTTATTTATTTATATAATTCATATGGACACAGGTCCAATTATAATAAAAATTGTTTATCTTATTATGCACAATTAAGAGCTAAATTTTCATTACTTTTAAATTCACAAAAATTATTAACAAAAGGATCAATATTGTACCTATTAGCTATACTCATTAAACGATGAATTAGTGCATTTGATACTAATTGATTACTTGCTAAAAACGAATAAAACAAATTAACATTTCTTAAATTAATTTTAGGAATTAATTTTAATTCAGGACATTCAATTAAATTATTAAGTAATTTATACAAGAAAAATAAATCTAAATTTTTTCTTCTTATTTCTAAAGTATTTAAATTTAATATACTGAGTAATAGCTCATAAGATGTATGTACCTCTCTATATATATATATTACAATTAATAGAAACAAATCTTAAAAATCGATGTTGGACAGCTTCTAGTTCTTTAATTAAACCTATGTGATGTGTTGCTCATAGAGTGGAGTTATACTCAAGACATGATCGGACTAGTGAGCAGTATAATGATTTTAAGGCAATAATATTTGTAAAATTTTCACAGTGGCGTTTTATAAAAGCTAACTATTTTGATGCTTTATTTATTATTTCAGAAATATGAGTATTAAAAGTTAAGTTCGATTCAAAAATAATTCCTAGATCAGTAATATTTAAAATAATTGGTAGTTTACAATTAGAAATTTGGAATTTAAAAATGATAGGTTTCTTAATTCAGTAGAAGGAAATTAAAATTGCATTTGAGTATATTCAAGGTCATTTGGTTCGTTGAGCACCAGCTAATCATATTATTTATATCTTTTTGAAGTAAATATGCATCATCAATGGATTTTATAAAACCAATACATTTGCAATCATCAGCAAACGAAAATAATGTAGCAAAATGAAGACAAAAATTTAAATCATTCAATTTCAATCAATTTCAAATTTATGAATATATTAAAAAGAAGTGGTGAGAAATGTGATCCTTGTGGGACACCAGATATTATATTTATAGGAGAATAAATGAAATTTTTGTATTTTACTATTTGAATTCTATTAATGACAAATGATGTAAACCATGATTATTATGGTGGTATAAAATAAAATATGGCAGTAAATTATAAACATTAACCAAGCTGTAGTTATCATTTACCACATGACTTATGTTATCACTAAACATAATAAATAATGATAGTTTTTATACTTACTACCCAATTAAATGTTACTAATTTTAAAAAGAGTTTTTAAAAAAGGTATTTCTAAATTAATAATATTGTTTATTAATAAATATTGAAATAAAAAAATATTGTGTAATTTATGAATGCATATATTAAAATATATTTAAATTATTTGCGTACATTAGTACAAGAAAAAAGAACATGTTACCTAAATAAACAACAATACTATTTATTAAAAAAAATACCTAAAAAAATGTATATGTAAATATATAATTTATATGTAGAAATAAATAAATGAATGCGTCATCTTGAGTAATTAGTAATTAGGTATTAAGAAGTAAACCGGTGTGGTTTTAAGAAATTTGTTGTACCTATTAAACAGATTTAAAAATTTGTCATACTGATTTGTTTTTTTCAACTAACATAAACGAGATGGTCGAATAATAACGATCCAGATTTTTCCCAACCAATTTATTTATAATATTTCTTTACCTCATAGTTCCTTTGATATAACTTTCACATAAATCAACTTGAGGTAATTCATGAACTCATCTTCTTGAATAGTAAAACAATTACTAGTTGTGATATAATTTTTGGGGTTCACCTCTCTCTACTACTTTTCAATCTTTTTATTAATTATATTATACTTGTCATCAAAAATTCTAATATTTTACGATTAAAACTCCTGAAGATACTTCATTATTTCAAGAACATTTTAATAACTGCAATAATAGTCTTTCTTTAAACGTTGATAACTGTCAAATTATTACTTTCTCCAAAAAACATAAAACTATAATTTGTAACTATTATTTATCCAACATTAATCTTTTCCGCTCCTCATTAGTAAATAATCTTGGTTTATTGTTTGACTCTAAACTTATATTTAATTCTCATATCCTATTAGTTAAGAAAAAAGCTCTTTTTATACTTGGTACGGTCAAACGTAACTGCTCTGAATTTCTTAACCCTTTGATATTTAAACAATTCGACTCATTCGACCTCTAGAGCATGCGACTTTAATCTGGGTTAGTGATAGTATAGGACACAGTAATGATATTGAAATAATTCAAAACAAAATTCTCCGATTTATTTGCTTCAAATGTAATATACCAAGAATGCCACACTCCGGCTATAACAACATTCTAAATTTTCGAATTGTTTACGAAGATTATACCTGTCGCGAATAACTCGTGGTTTTGGTAGTATCATTAATATATCTAAAATTAATTCTTCACCAGAAAAAACCGATGTTTCTGAAGAACTATGCATTATTAATTTAATTAAAAATTAAAATAATAATAATAGTTATAATAATATCAAATATGAATTAACAATATAATAATATTATCTAATGTTTTCAATTATCACCAGTCACCACAATAACACAAAACATTGATAACGAAATTTAACTATGGATAAATATTTACACAACGATAAATGGGCCTTTAATTTAACTCTTGATAAACTAAATTTTTATCAACAGACAAAATTTAAAATGTGGTTGATTGAACAGATTTCAGTTTAACTACAGATAAACGAGTTTATCTCTGTGTAAATAGTTTGTGCAACCCGGCATTAGCCTTATCAATTTTAAAGTCAACCCTCATAATAATCGTAACAGAGATCTATTCTATATTACTCATCAAAATAAAAATTATTTATCTTGCTCGCCTTAAAATATTTTAATGTCAACTGATAATAACCTTACCAATGAAATTCTATTTGTTTAATATTTTCTCCACTAATATATTTTTTTTTTTATGTTATAAAATGTATGAAACGTATAAAATGTTATATATTGCAATTGTAAGTTTATAAACCCACTCATATCACTATTATAATTTTATTGTAATTGAACATTTGTCCATAATATTTAATTCATAAATAAATAAATATTACATGTTGTTAGTTATCACTTATAAATTAAAAATAATAATAGGAAAGTACCCAAATGGTTTATGTTTGTCGTTTGGTACGTCGCATTAATTAGAATATATTTAGATTTTGGAGTAAGCAAGTAATAATTAGTAGTAATTAATTTGATACTCTAATTAATCTCTAGTTTATATGTATAATAATCATAATAATAAAAATATTTCTAAACTTTCTCGATTTGTATTTGTTGTTGCTGCTATTTGTCAAAAAAATCTCTGAAATCCGAATGACTGATTGCAAATTTTTTTTTAACACTATTACCCTCCTGTTAGTAACTAAGAACGACAAGAACAGATTTCAGAATGTAAGTCTACAACTATTTTGATTTTTCATTCTTGATACGCATTTCACAATTCGATATTGTAATAAATCTATACCTAATTGATTTTATTTTAATTAAAAATATCTACACTATGAGGCTAAGACACGTCTTACTGTACAACCTTTTATAATCTAATTCTAATATATTAGAGAACTATGATAAATAGATATTTTAAAAAATACAGGTAAAAATTCATAACAACTACGAGTTAAAAAAATTAATTAGAAAAATGGGGGTAATCCAATCTATATCCCGAATTTCTATCTAAACCGGTGTAAAACTGTAAACTTACATGGACCAGACTCACGAATTGGAATCATGGAAAACACAAAGTGATAGAAATGTTGTCGATTTTTTTCGTTTTTTTTTTTCAAAAAAACCATAAGGGAACGTATAAAAACCTGTAACGTATTGCAAAAGCCACGAAACTCGAAAATAAATAATATTACCTATTGCATTAGTTATCCGGTAGGTATACAACGACAAATAAGTCAAACGGAGAGTCGGCCGTCCGCAACCGGTTAAAGGGATTGGAAGCGACGAGTTTCTTTCTTTGTCTTACACACGTGATATATTGGGATTTAGACATGTTTTATTTCCAACGTATCGATTGACATAGTTAAGCGTTAAAAATTCTGAAAACAGATTTAAATTTTTCGTGAAGTTAACTTGAGATTGACTTTCCCAATTTTTGATTTTAATTTTTCAAAAAATTAAAATATTCCAATCAATTACTCTTGTATTAGTATGGCTTTTTTATAATTTAAGGAGATAAATTTAAGTTAGGTTAGGTTCAAGTTCAACAGTAGGTAGTCGTGTACTCGTTACATAATACTGCGTCCAAGAAACGAAAAATAAATCGCCAAATATAGTCAACCATAGACAGTGTGTTGTGTTGGAAAACCACCACGCCTCGTAATGCTAAAAATAATATATTCCTATCGCGGGTAACTATACGATTAATTTCTTATAGATAATCGTTTCCATTCAACTCAGTCATATAAATGACACCGCGCTGACATATTTTTAAAATTTATTTTGTGACTTACCGATGACGACGAATTTTTATTTATACATAAACGTGAACAAACGACTATCGTGACGGAATTGACGTTTATACCGCGATCAAAATGATAAACTACGAACTTTTACACAATAAAAAACGGAAACACTTTTGATTTTACATAATACTAAATGCGTGCGCACGAAACCACTCGATATAGACGCTAAAGCAGTCGGAACGAAAACTGAAATTAATAGTGAAGAGCAAAAAATCACATCACAGTTACTTTGTCACGGCGACAACAGTGTCGTCAATCTGGGCCAATCAAAATTTTCAATTGTTTTCAATAAAGTTTATTGGTAAAAACATGGCCGACACTGAGTGGGGGGGGGTTAACTGGGCACCCGCCTACTGCCTCAACCTTTATGCGGTCTCGCATTTTTAAATTTTGAGTGAGAAGTGTAATGATTAACCGTGAGTGAAGTTTTTTTTTTTGAATCTCTAAGTAACTTATCCTAGGATTTCGCAAAGTAATTCTAATTTTGGTTTTACAAATGATGTTTTTTTTTCTGTGAATAATTTTTCTACCAACAATTTCGCTCTGGTTTTCAAATGTAGCACTTTTTCTAAAAGAAAATTTGACTGAAGTGATACTTTAGAGAAGTCAGTTTTGATTTTCCCAAGAGTTTCTATAATAAATAAAATGAACTTGGAAAAAATGTAAATAAAAAGGAAAATTCAAATATACTATGTCTCAGTAAGTTATCACACATTTTTCAACTTATTTCTCTTATGATATTAAAAAAATCCTGTTTTCCCGAACTTGGTTTATTACATTTATGTTACTTTTAATTTCTGTCAAAGTGACTCAATAATCTTTATGTTCATATCTTCATGGCTTCCAGCTTCTTGTCCTGTTAATTTATGGCCCATGTATTACAATTAAATAGCAGTAGATACACTCCAAACACTATGGTGCTTGACAAAATTTTGAAAATTTTTTTATAGTATCATGTAGGTATGTCTATGAATAACACTAATTGGTAAGCGAAAACATTTCTTCTACCAAATTGTTCGATAGCGACTATTAATTGGTAGTGCCCATATTAATTTGCATTACAATTATCATGTTTCTGGAATTATTGTTGATAATAGGTAACTATCTAAATGTGGGGAAATTGTATCGTACCCACTGAATTTGAAATCCAAATAATCTATACACTAATATTCTTCAGAACTAACAATTTCACTCATATTTTTGATTTGTTTATTAATCAATGAGCTCATTAAATTGAGTACCTATCTAGTTTAATGAAACTATCATAGTTCATTCTTAAATTGTGGCGAATATCACTACTATCTAATTATTTTAGTAACATACTATCGTTTCACTTTTATCTTTCTACTAACAATTTCTTTGTCCACATTTTGCTTTTCTTCTTTTGTAAATTGATAGAATAAATCCTAATTTTTGCCATTTCAATACTGATGCCATTGTAAAGATGTCCAGTGTTGTATTACATCACTACCTAATGGAAATAATGATTCACCTATCATTATAGAATATAACACTTAATCCCTCCTTGTTGTAGTTTAAATCAAATAAAATACAAGAAAATATTATTAGGTAAGTAAGTATCTATTTTTGTAAATATATTAATTTACAAAATATTATACCTAATTAATTTTTGTTCAAAATTAACCAATTATATAGGTACTTAATTACGTACAATAATTTTTGTACATTATATTAATTTCAGGTAAATCGTATCAAAGCGTGTACCTTTCTTCCATACATGCATGAAAGTGATTGGACTAATGATGTGAAATCTACTATCGAAGAATTTGTTAGTACAGATCGCAAAATGCTGTTTTTATTTTATGAAAATAATATTCTCAAAGCTACTTTTTGTATACCTGATACTCAAACGGATACTATTATGTGGTTTCTGAAGACCTTTGATAAAGAAGCTCTACGTTTAGACAACTTGAATTTCTTGAAATATGTTTCGTTTGGAAAAATTGATACACATTTGGAGAAAACTATGTTTCTGTTATTGGACTCTTTATATTCTCCCTTTATTTTTACTTGGTTGGCTAGTATCCTTTTTGAATACACAAATTTAATTTTCAAAAATAAAGTGTTATATTATTCCAGGTGACGATGAACAACAAAATATTTTACTTATATTGTACAGAGAATTTAAATATTCTCCTTAACTTGAATTTTAACAGGTGAAAAGGATCAATTTTTTGAACAATATAGGGCAGTTATACAAGAATTATGTTCATTAAGGTACAAGTTTTTAGGAATGCCCAGTATTTATATTCCAACAATAGTTTGGAAATTTGATGAAAATTTGAAAAATGTTAGTGAAGAAACCCTTAGAGTACTTGAAAGTGAGTTTTAATTATGCTTAAACATTATACAAACAAAAAACTAAATAAGTCAGTACCTATATTAATTAATCTTAGTTTAATTTTAATTTTAATTTTTTTATGTATATAATAATTTACAATGTAAATATTATACTATTGTTAATTAGTCATTATCTATACAATTATTTTAAATAAAATATTTATAGTTGATTAATAATTTATTTGTATTAAACAAATATATTTTACTTAATATAGCTGTTACTTATAGCTATATACTTAGCTGTTGTTTAATAATAAACGCATGAAAATAGGTACCTAAATGAAACAAATTATTTATTTTTTTTTATAATTTCATTATGATATTTTATTTTATGATTTTTTTTATTTACTATCAATAATATTGCTAATAATTCTAATGTATAAGGTGTAAACTTACATTTAATATCTGATTAAAATCACTAAATTATTTTTACTAATTGATAACTAATAATAAAGAATTAATTTTAAATACCTAGGTATATATTATCTGCTAAATATAATTAACAAGTATTATAATTATTAGCATAATACTATTTATTAAAAATTGTGTTGTTTATCTATATAATTGTATGTGTGTGTTTCAGATATTCTAAATGTTTACACTTTAGAAATTCAAAAGTGTTTAATGGACACCGAAAGAATACCAACTCAATGTGAATATATGATGGAACACATTGTTGATGAAATAAGATACTGGAAAAATAGGTGTAAGTTTTAAAAAGTATATATAAAATTGCACTAAATTAACTTTTATATTAATACAATCCTTGGTGGATTTTCATTTAAGTTACAAATTTGCGGTTTATAACTACATTATTAAATTATAAGAGTGTTGATGAAATTCTTTCAATATTGAAACAACATCAATCAATCCTTGTCCGTTCATTCAATAATATTTTGGATGAAATTGAGGTTGGTAGTTATTTTAATTGATTATTATTTTTCAATTGTATTATTACTATAATTTAATAAAAAATCATGAACACAATAATTAAAAATATTAATTAATATTTATTAATTGATTAAACTCATTAATAAATCAATTCAAATTTATCTATAAACTATACATATCTATATAATTATACATTTAATATTTGGGATATTTTTGATTACTTGGAATATGATTGCATATTTTTTTTACTATTGAGAATAAGTTAAATCCCAAAGATAAACAAAAAAATAAAACTTGTAGTAGGTACATGTTTTGAATACTACTAGTACTAATATCCCGTAAATTTAAGTATAAACATTGTATGATAAATAATTTGTACTGTTTATTTCCTAAATGATTAAATAACATTAAAATGTTTATAAATATTGTATATAAATGTATAATTTTTATTGAACTTTATATTCTCAATTTTATTGTTTACACAGACAGCCAAAATAGAGTCTAAATCTAATATCAATTACTTAAATATTTTATGGGAACCAGTTATGAATTTATATGATGTAAAATCACCGAAAGACATATTAATAAGATTACCTGATATATTTATGAGGTTTATTTTTATTCTTGAAGAATCGCCTTACTATAATAAATGGTATAATATTATAGAAATTAAATTTAATAATTTAAATAATATAATTAATAATAATTAATATTAGGTCTGATATAAATCGTTTATATGAATATCTTGGAAATCAAATAGTATTCATATGTCGAAAAACCATTAAATTGTCTGAACTGTTCTCTGGTAATACACAAAATGTTTTAAACCAAATCCACATTTCAATTAACTGCTGTCAAAATTTTATTTCAGTGTATAGTAAAGTAAGAATAATTAATTTGCTACATGTTCTATTTGGTTTTATAATAATAATATATATATTTGGCAGGTAATTCAGATTTATAATTCTAAGAATGATGGGCATTGGTTAATAGAAACTAAAGACGTGCATATGTTTTTGGATCGTTGCAAAGATATACATTTTATATGTAAATCAATGATTTTATTCAAAAGGTACATTAATATTAAGAAAAGTTATTTATATTAATAAATTATGAAATACCTATTTAAACTGGTGATTTTTTGAAAATGTTATTAAGACTAAATGGGAATAATACAATACCAAAACCAAAATTTTCATTTACCAAAGGTTTGGAGTTTGAAAAAGTCATAGAATCTATAGAGGTACGATTTAATAAATTAATCAACAATTTGGAAAACGTTCAAAATATAATATTCAATGTAAATACCACTGATTGGTATCAACATGAACTCGAGTAAGATTTTTAAACTTAAACCACATTTCTATTTCGTAGACAATATTCACTGATTAAAAATTAATTTTAAAATATTTTATTTCAATTATAGATTCAAGGGTGAAGTAAAAGAGTTATGTACTATTATAGAGCAATTGTTAAATGATGCATTGAATGTTACATGTAATATAGAAGATGCTCTAAATATTTTACAAAGCTTGCATTATTTCTCTAATTGGCCGCAACTGAATCCTCATTTTCAAAAAAAAACCAATGAAGTGTACAATATGCTCATCAATGATATTTCATTGGCTATGCAATTTTATACAGACAAAAATAATTATCAAATACCATCTTTCATGGTCCAATATTCAGGTGTTTGTATCACAGCCATGACTGAATACAAACGAATTACAACACTTAGAAATGTAAAAACCAATAAGTATTAATTATTAATATTATATATAAGAGTTCTATAAATTTCATTATACCTATTAATTTTATTTGTATATTATAGATGATATCTGAACGCCCTTGGTTACAACTGTGTACAAATATAAAAAAACTCAACAAAATGTACTTAAATTATACCGTTGCCTATCAAGAATTAATAAATAATACTTTTGAGTTGTGGAATTATCAATTAAATACAAATTACGAGGAATTATTGGAGAAAAATATTTTAGTTGGGAATCATAATGATCAATTCTGGCATTTGACAAATAATTTAGACAGGTGCATATTCCAAAATATGTTTATAAAGTTCTCTGTATTCCTTTTCAGCTATACCTCAGTTCCTAATTATTTATTTTTAGTGATACATTTGATCTAGTAACAGAAATTGAGTATTGGTCACTAATTGAATTTAAAAATATATTTATGTCGAATATCCTTGTTACAAATGCAACAAAAATAAAACGATTGCACCGAAATGCATCAAAAATAGTTAATGATTATAATACTCTTATAGCTGGTAACTATTTAAATTTTAAAAATAAACAAATTATGATAATTTAATGCATATTAATATATAATTAATATATAATATAATAATTATATACAAAAATTATTATTAACTTTAAAATGGTTAATATAATTGTTTGATGTATACTAATATGATTATATTTATATTAATTTGTATGTGTACAAAACTGACTATAAAGCATTCTAATTAAATATGTTTATTCCTATAAAAATTAATTCATTATATATTTATGTGTCACACAGGTTTATCTGAACAAGAGATGTTATTATTTAGTGAATCAATAGAATTATGTAATAAAATAACAGCACCAATGATTCAATGTTATACTTGGAAACAACTAGACATTGACAATTATTTACTTGATTGTATTGATGAATTAGAATTGGTTAATTAAATTAAAAATGAAATAAATTAATACATTTTATTATCAACATTATATCTATATGTATATTTAAATATTTTAGGTTCAAAATAGTGTCGATGATTATAAATATTGTAATATAGAAATAGTTAATATTTGTGAAATAATAGCAAATTCAACCCTTTTTAAAATAAACTTGATACAAATTTTGAAGTTAAAAGATCTTCGAACACAAATTGATCAAATCAAGTATGAGTGTATTTTTACATATGTATATTGTGTATATAAATCATAAAATAATTTTTTTTTTCACAACTGATGCAAATTAGATTAAACTAATCCTGTTAAATCAACAACTATATAATCTAAATTAATATAATTTTTAATCATCTTTATTGATTAACTTTTAGATTTGGAGCGTAGCGAGAGATATATTGGTTTTACTGTAATTTGTTTTTTTTTCTGTCTGTAAAAAAACTTTCTGAAAAGAAATCTTGCATCAATATATCAAGTGTAACACCTTTTTTGTAATAAAATTTTATCTAGATAATGCATTAAAGAGGCAATTTTTTTTGATTTTCAAAATAATTGAGAAAAATTGGAAACAAAATTATAGGTAAAACTGTAAATATGTACGGCGCAACGCGTGGAATTCTGATTTTATAGCTTTAATTTTTATAAATTATTGTTTTAATCAAAAACTGATTATAGATCTTTTTTGTTACATTTTGGATTTAGTTGTTCCCTAAGTAAGTCATTTTTTTAATTTTTCAAGTAATTTTCAGAATAATTCAGAAAACTATAAATTTAATTAACAAATTTATGACTTTGGAATTCCTTTATTTTAAATTTTACGGCTTAAGTTTTCCGCCAAATATTGATCCAATAGAAAAATAAGAGACCTTTTTTTGTTAAATTTTTAATCTAGTTGGTGATTATGAAAGTAATTTTTTGATTTTCCTAGTATTTTTTTTAAAAATATTTGAGCATACCAAAAATAAATGGAAAATTTAGTAAAAAATGCTTTTATTATTTTTAATTTTATTTTATTAAAAATATTCGTAGAAACTTGAAATTTTGACAGCTGACTTATATTTGTCTTTTCTAGACATGGTTAAATTTTCAAAATATTTGAGCTAGTTTTAGGCATTTTAATTTTTCGATTATTTTACATAATTTTTATTTGGTAGGTACCTACTCTACAATGGATTTAAGTGGATGAAGTGGTTAGACTAAATAGAAATTATTGACAATTTAATTGTAGGTTCATTATAAGTCATACTTAAGGGTTAAAAAAAAAAATAAAGTATAATATTTTTTTTTTATGTTTTTATATCAAAGTACGGCGAAAATTGTAAATATTGTGGCCTTTCAAAATATATACAACTGAACTTTGCTCTGAATCATTTTTCGTTAGCAATGGTTTACAGGTGTTGTCTCCAGGGAGGGGGCTATGGGCTCTGTAGACACATATAAGTGTTTATAATAAGAGGTAGGTGTATACATTTCTACATTCTACATTATGAAGTATATATAAACTATAAAATATGTATTTTGTTGTACAATTTTCTGAATATTATGATTCAACCCCCTTTCCCAACTTAGTCTCTGGAGTCGATGATGGTTTACCATTGCTTATAGATATAAATTAAATATTTTTATGTATCTTACTTTATTAACTTTCACATACTACAGCGATACACCAGTCCCCAGTATTAGCTCTTTTCTGTTTTTATCTATCTATTATTATACTAACAATATAATCATGTTTGTATTTTAGAAGCAAAACGATTATGAACATTTTAAAAAATTACAATTTAATTATAAAATACATAATGGTCATCTATGAAGGATTTGAAGAAAATATTGATAATGTATAGTAGACATTGTATATAATAACAAACATCATAATTTTTAAATAAAATTAATTTTTGATATTTTTAGATCATGGTTTATTGGACACGGTATATAGAGAAAATAGATAGTTTAATATGCAAATCATTAATTCTTAATTGTCAATGTGCATTAGAGAATATTTTAGAATTAAGTGTTGGTGATGGATCTGGTCCAGTACCAGCAATATTAGTTGACGTAAGCCTAAAAAACAATAAAGTAAGTAACCTAAATAAAAATAAAAATTAAGGAATGATTCTAAAATATTATGAATTTGTATAAATAGATAATATATTCATCGAGTTTATCAGAAATTTTGGCTTTTTCTGCAAACTTTTTATCAGATATATTAATGACTATAAAAGTAATACCCAGATTAAGTTATTCATTGAAATTATCAAAAAATAATTTAATTCCATATGAAAATGAAATTTCCAAAAATTGGATTTGTATTAAACTACAGGAAAAAAATAATATAGGTAAAAATATTATTTTATAAAAAAAAAACTTTCTTTGTATTTATTTTAGATTCCGAGTGAAGCAAAGAAACTTATGGTTTTACAAAGAAGTTTTTTTTTTATCTGTTGGCAATTTTTCACCTGGAAGACTTGCTCAGATTTCTAAATGTAGCACCTTTTCTGTGAGGAAGACATTTTTCGAGTTTTCTCATCAAATTAAAAAACTGAAAAATTTACGAAATATTTTACTATAATATTTAGATTTTTTTCCCGTACTCAACTTTTCAACCAATAATTTTGCTCCTGCTTATAATGATAGCAATGTTTCTAAAAGGAAATTACATTAGGGAGGTACTTTAGAGAGGTCATTTTTCTATTTTCTCAGACGTATTCTCAGAAAATGTGAAAAATCGGAATAAAACATGGGAAAAATGTAGACAAGCTAGGAAAATCGGTACAACATTAAACAAATATTATTAAAAAAAATATATAAAGCTTATTTAATTATTTTACTGTAAAATGACATATATATTATTGACAAAGCATCACTATCAAAAAAAAACTCCCCTCAGTATCTTTTTTCTGTAAGCAGTGGTTTACCAATGCTTACAGATATACATTAAATTATCTACAACAGTGGCTGTAAACGTACTCATTATCTTAGGAAGTCTTTTTAATATATATTATTTGTATTATATTATTTTTAGCAACTATAAATGCCTTAAGACAGTTAAGGTGTTATATGCACAAGTTCTTAATATTGAAAAACATATGGTCCACGAATAAGACATTATTTTTTGAAAAATATAAAACTTTTACTTCTTCTGCTATGAACTTTAACCAAGATATGGCTAAGTAATAAACATAATTTTAATTTTTTTTAATTTGGTACATTAAAATATTATCATAATACAAATATGGTTTAATTTCATAGATATTCAATTTATAAACATCAAATATCTAATATCAAACCAGTGACCCAAGTTGCTCATTTCTTAGTGCAAACAAATATATTAAAAGATGAAATTATTGTACACTGTGATGAGTGGCAAGGACAATTTTCAGATCTTCTTATTGAGATGACGACAAATCTTATTGAAGGATTTTATCAATATGCACATATCAATAGCCTTCAGTATATTAAAGTTAAATTTATAGTCTATGCAAATTAAATCTTAAATATTTTTACATTTTGTTTTAGAGTAATGACACCACCTAAAAATTTAGTTGAAATGACTTCATTTATTGAGCTACGAACAAAAATATATTCGGAATACAATAGTAAAGCTAAAGAATTTACACTAATTTCTGATAATATTAAAGTGTTAGGTACTTACTTAAATTAATTAAATAATTCAATTAATGAATATAATGGTTTATATTCAGAAAAGTGGTTTTAATTATCTTTTTAGAAATGAATAATATTCAAATACCAGAAGTTATGAAAATTAAATATGAAAAATTATTTAAAGTTTGGAGTGTATATAAGAATACTCTTGAAGATGCTGAAATAATGTTAAAAACAAAACAAAATGAATTTTTCTACGCTTTATTGGAAAAACAAATTGATATAAAGTTAAAAGCTAGAGATCAATTGCAAATATTTCTTGAAACTGCTCCAATTTCTACAGAATGGAACTCGAATGGTAAATATAATTTACCTATTATACCTTACTAAAAATAACTTCACAACAAACAATAAAAACCTCTTTATTTTTACTTTATTATTTTATGAAATTATATTTGTATACCAGTTTTATTTAATAAATGATTAACAAAGTTAATAAATGTATTTGTTAAATCCTCTAAGTAAATAAAGTACACAATTAAAAACATATATATACTTTTTAATACTTGAGATTCTAAGTTGAGTAAAATATTACGGGCTTTTTTTTTCTTGCGGACAACTTTTGAACTAGCAATTTTGCTTCGATTTACAACTATAACACTTTCTGAAAGGAAATCTGACTGGGGAAGTACTTTGAAAATACAATTTTTTGATTTTTCCATGAGTTTTTCCAATAAATAAGAAAAACATGAGAAAACTAGTAGAAACTTAGAAAAAACGGAAAAATAAATACTATTTAAAAAAAAAAATAGCATGCATAGGTATTTAATTATTTCACCATAACATGACATATATATTGTTTATATAGCAACACTTTCAACTGAACTTTGAATCATAATTGTTGAACTCAAAATCGTTTTTCATTAGCAATGGTTTATTGCTTACATATATACATTCAATTTCCCCACTACTACCCTCCCAATTTCACACCTATAACAGTCGCTACACCCATCTCCATTAATCCAGGACAACTTTTTAAGAAGTATCTTTATAAATATTTTAAATTTAGTTTTTTTTTTAAGATGCTTTGAATTATATTGAGCAAATAGAAAATAAATTAGAAGTTTTAAAAGCCGAAGAAAAACAATTAAACAATGACCTTACTGTATTTGAAGTTAAATATATTTATTCAGTTGAAATTGAAGAACTTCAAAAAGTAAGAAATAATTTAAAATATGAATATATTTAAAATTAGCTGTGTATCATTTATTTTATTGTTTCAATTTATTATTATTTACTAAGTTCTCAATTATGTGCCTTTTGTTTATGGTAATTTTTTAAATTGTATGTTTACTTATTTATTGGTAACAATGATGAACTTAAAAATACACAATATTATTTATAGGAAGTCTTAGTTTTATACTCTGTCTGGAAACTAGTAAACACGTGGGATTGTATGTGGGAAGACTATAAAACAATACAATTTTGGGATATACACGTTTCTGAAATTATGATTACTGTGGATACATTTTTAAATAAATTTAATATTTTGGTCGATGGTTTAACAAACAAAAAATGGGAAATAATAGAATCAACTTTAAATAGCATAAACACATTTTCTAATTTACTACCTGTAATTGAAAATTTAAAAAATTCAGCTATGAAAGTTAGACATTGGGACGAAATAAGACATATAATAAATAAGTAAGTAATGATTTTACAATATTTTAAATCGTATACTATAAATTAATCAATCAACTAATTTTTTTTAAAAAAAATCATATATTTACATAGAAAATTTAATGAAACAAGTTCTGATTTTACAATAGAAAAATTAATGGAAATTAAAATCCAGAACTTTAGTAAACAAATTATTGATGTTTCAAAAAAATCAACCATGGAACTCAGTTTAGAAAAGGTAAAATATTTCTGTAAATTAAATTATACATTTTAAATGCATGCTTTGCTATTTCATTTTAAGTCAATAATAAATATAAAAGAAATATGGGCCAGTACAAATTTAAATTTTGAATCCTGTAAAGATAAAGAAATTTACTATGTGAATATAATTGATGATATTTTTCAATTATTAGAAAATCATTTGGTAGAACTATCTGTAATTAAAACATCCAAGTAGGTACTTAATAGACATGTAGACTTAAATAATTTTTGGTTAACAATATGGTGATATTTCTAGATATATATCTATTTTTATGAATGAAACAGATATTTTAGAAAAATCTTTGGGTCTTGTCATGGAAGTTTTAGAAATTATACTTTTAGTTCAACGACAATATATTTATTTAGAAGTAAGTGTATATATGCAAAATATAACTAAAATAAAAAATATAACTTGCTAATGCAAGTGTATTATTTGGTAATTCTATATTAAATTATTTAGAATATATTTTTGGGAGATCATATACGACAAAAAATGCCAATTGAAAGTATTGACTTTGATATTTTAACAGAAGAATGGAAAGTAATAACAACACAAATGTATAAAGAAAACAATTTATTTAAATCTTGTAATTCCAAAGGTAAGTATGATTGTTTTAATTTTATATCAAAATATAAGTAAAATATATCAAAAAAAACTATATTTTTTAAAGCTTTATTCAAACATTTAAACACTATGAATTATCGCCTAGAAGTTATACAGAGAGCCTTAGAAACATATATTGAATTAAAACGACAAATATTCCCTAGATTCTATTTTATTTCAAATCGTGAATTATTGGAAATATTAGGAAATTCTAGTAATCCTGATTCTATTCAACCTTATTTAAAAAAACTTTTTAATAACATTCATAAAATTAAAATCCATGTAAGTTACAAGTGTATTACTATATTTACCTACTTTTATTTTATCAACACTTAAAAATTATACTTGAATTATGTGATATGTATTTTTACTTTTATAATAAATAATATATAACTTATATTTAGACTAATAATAATCAGAAAGTTGAAATTCAAGGCATGTATTCTAAAGATGGAGAATATGTAGATTGGATTCAACCAATTATATGCGATTGTCCAGCTGAGGTTTGGCTTAGTTCTGTTGGTAAATAAACAACATGATATTTGTAAAACATTTCGAGATTAAATTACATTTTGTACAAAACTATAGAAACTGCAATGCGTGAATCGTTGAAAGAATTATTAAAACAAGTAAAAGTATCATTAATGAAGAATTTAAAAACTCGTGAAAAGTGGATAAGAGAGTGGCCAGGCCAGCTTTGTATTACTGCATCTCAGGTAAACATAAATAAATAGTACAAGTAAGTAAAATATAATGTTTTTTTTTATTAAAATATGTAATTTAAAATAATTTAGATTTATTGGACAAGTGATTGTACCCGAGCATTAGTACAATCAAAATATTTAAAACATAAATATCCTTTAAAAAAAATGTTAAAAAAACAAAAACATATTCTAATAAAGCTATCAAAAGTCATTCGAGGGGATTTATCAAATACAGATAGATTGAAAGTTAAATCATTAATTGTAATAGAAATACATGCCAGAGATGTAATTGAAATGTTATACAAATCAAGTAAGTATTGAAATATATTTGTCCAATAATATAATTTAAAAATACAATTATTATCGATAGACTGTACAGACATATCTGCATTTGAATGGACATCTCAGTTACGGTTTTACTGTGACAAAAAAACAAACGAAATCATTATAAAACAAACAAACACTAAACAACTCTATGGTTATGAGTATATAGGAAATTCAGGAAGATTAGTCATAACTCCATTAACTGATAGATGTTATTTAACATTGAATACAGCTTTACATATGTATCACGGTGGACATTTAAAAGGTTCAATGTATACAGGAAAAACTGAAACTATAAAAGATTTAGGAAAACATATAGCACAATATGTTATTGTTATAAACTGTTCAAAAAATATAGATTATACGAGCATTACTCGTGTTTGTTTAGGTATAAATACATTTATTATGTTCTGATTAGTTACCTACTTGAAGTTGTTCCAATACAACTTGTTTATTTTTTTATTAAAGGACTTGTACAACAAGGAGCTTGGGCTTGTTTCGACAATATTCATCGATTAAAAATTGAAGTTTTATCTTCTATAACACAACAAATATTATCAATTTTGTCGGCTTTGGCAACTAATTTAAAAACTTTAGTAATCGATAAAAGGAATATTACATTAATTCCGACTTGTGGAATATTTATTACAACATCATCGTGTTATGAAGATAGATTAAACTTACCACAAAACTTAAAGTCAATGTTTCGCACTGTATCTATGATAGTACCAGACAATAAACTCATTGCAGAAACAATGTTATTTGGGGAAGGATTTAAAGATCCTAGAAATGTAACAAATAAAATTATTTTATTATTTTCACTTTGTAAACAATTACTTGATAAACACAATTTTTATGAATATGGACTTGGAAGTTTAATTAAATTAATCAAATATGCTGGGAAGTGTAAACGGGAAAATTTGAAAATAACAGATGATGAAGTATAAATATATTTTGCTATATTTTTAATGTAATGACCAGTAATATTGCTATCTATCATCTAAAATGTTTTATTTTCAGATTATTTTATTGGCATTTCATAAAATGAGTTTAGTAAATATGACCAAAGAAGATTTACCAATATTTATGGACATTATAAATAATATATTTTCTGATATTACTTTACCAGAAACCAAAAACAATCTATTAATAGACGCAGTAAAACGAAGCATGTTAAAAAATAACCATCAACCATTTGATACTGCAATTATAAAAACTATCCAATTATATGAAGTTATGCGTTATAGACGCTCTGTAATAATTATAGGAGATACTGGAACAGCTAAAAGCATTACCTGGAAAACACTTAAGGATACATTTACCTTATTAAAAAAAGAGCATGTCAATATGTTTGAAACAGTTATTGTAAGTCATAAAATAAATTGTAAATAATAGAATATTCACTCAAAACCACAGAAAATAATCTCTTCTATAATGTATCCTTAATGATAATATGTATTTAAAAAAATATATTCATATAATAGTATATATTATCTATATGCTAAAACCACTTTGCCTAGGTCCAAAATAAAAAAAACTCTTCTTTTAACAGTTTTCTAGTGACCAATCTGAAAAATAAAAATACACAGGTATATGTTAAACATTTTTTATTTAGTTATTTTTTAAAACAAATTTGATCTTATAATTTTTGTGATATTAATGGGTTAGCTAATATACCTGATATATAATTATAATATTTGTATACAATTATCGACAAAATATTTTTATAAAAATGTGTACAATACTCATTACTTGTTAAATTTTACATTAAAATTACCTATGAAAAAAAATGAGCAACACTGTTTGTACCTACCTATGTAATATTATACATTTAGTTTATTTAATTACATAAAAAATAAAATAAAATAAACATATAAATATAATTTAAAATCCAAAGATAGTAATACTATTAATATCAATCAATAATACAATATTTAATGATTACCTATATAATGTGTTATGTATAATATGTTTAGGGTTATGTTTTGAATCCAAAAACGTTAACTATAGAAGAATTATATGGTAGTTATAATCAATTTACACATGAATGGATAGATGGAATTTTGTCATCAATTGTACGCAAAATTTGTTTGGGTATATATTTTATAACTTTGTTAATATAATATAATAGGTACTAAAATAGAAATATTAACTAAAAAAAAAGAAAGTTATTTCCCTAACAAGTTTAAATTTAAGAGGTCCTATTTATTAAAAATAAAAAATAGTACAAAAACTTGGTAAAGTAAGAAACATAAACTGATTTAATTTATGTTTGTACACAATGATATATCATTGCTGACGAAATACGATTCTGAGCGAAGTTTTGTTAAATGTTTTGAAAAATCCCAAATTTAAATAGATATTATAAATATTATTACATTGAATTTAATAAATCATATAAGTATGTAAAAATGTGTTTATAAAACAATTCGAGTAAATATCATCGTCTTATATAAGATATAGAGGTACAATAATAGTACAACAAAAAAAGCTGGTACTGGACGAGTGTGACCACTGTTATAAAGGTGCTATAGGTACGTTAAGTTATTTAATTTATACCAGTAACCAACGATAAACCATCACTAAAGAAAACCGATTCGGCGTGAAGTTCGGTTATAAATATTTTGAACGGCCGTAATATTTACAATTTTTCTCAAAAATTAATTTTAAAACTTATAAAAAAAAAAAAAAATTACATTTCAATTTATTTTTTTGATCACTAAATATGACTTAGAATGAACCTCCTATCAAATTTTCAAGTAGTTCTGTTAAGTCTAACAATATATCTACAGAGTGCCTACCAAATAAAAATTACGTAAAAAAATTCGCAAAATTATAATTTCTATAAATAGCTCAAAAATTACTCAAATATTCTGAAAGTTTTACTACATCTAGAAAAAATAAATAAAAGTTTTCTGTAAAAAATTTTAAATCTCTACGAATATTTTTAACTGAATTACATCAAAAAAACAAATCTTTTATTTTTTTAATAAAAGAATTAGTTTCGTAAATTTTCCCATACTTTCTACGTATTTTTCGATTTTGTTCAATTATTACAAAAACTACCAGAAAAAAAAAACGTATTATTTACTTATAAACTAGATTACAAACTCAAAAAAAAGGTCAATATTGTTTTTCTATTAGAGCAAATATTTATGGTAGAAAACATTAGTCGTAAAATTTTTAAATAATAAATTGCGTCGTAATTTTCGTCCTTTTTGGTTTTTCCTAATTATTTTAAATATCAAAAAATGACTTTCTTTACCAGTGGCTGTATGTTAAAATAACAAAATCGCTCTCTTATCATTTTTCTATTAAGGCAATATTCCTAATAGAAATAAGTTGAAAAATTGTAAAACAAGGAAATCAGTCACGCCCTGATGCGTCGTAAATATTTGCCATTTACCTCTAATTTTCTATTGGTTTTTTCCCAATTATTTCGAAATTCCCTTGGAAAACCTAAAAATGACCTCTTTTATGCACCAACTAGATAAAATTTCTTTTGAGAAAAAGGTACTGAAAGGAAATGGTCTTATGTCAAAACTGTGACGGTGAAATGGCAACTGAGACTTGTCTAACATACATTTTTTAAGTATTACATAATTCACATAAAATATTTTAAAATGTATTCATTGTGAATAGATAACGGATTGGACCAAAAATGGGTGATATTTGATGGACCGATTGATAGTAGTTGGGTTGAAAATATGAGCTCTGCAATGGATGATAACAGTATTTTAAGTTTAACAAACGGGGAACATATTTCAATACCAAAAAAAGTAATAATTATTTTATAATGCTATTACATTAATGTGATCTAAAAGTGATAAATTAAATTTAATATATTGTATTATTTAAATTATTTTAGGTGTCATTTCTATTTGAAGTAGAAGATTTAGAAGTAGCGTCTCCTGCAATTATTTCTAGATGTGGTATAGTTTATAATAATCATAATGATTACAGCTGGAGATTATATGTTGATTCATGGTTAAATACTTGCAAGTTTAAATTGTTCAAAGATACTGTATGATTGATTAATAAGATGATATTAGAGTTTATTAATGTAAAAATTAAATGTTTAGATAAAACTTTATTTTAATCAATACATAGATGATTTGGTTACATTTAAAAGATTAAACTGTATTGAAATAGTTTCTTTAAAAGACCAAAATTGTATAATATCATTATGTAAACTGTTAGAAAGCTGTACTTTTCATGACTTGGCTGATAATATTCCTATTGGGTTAAACAATAATCAATACAAATTACTTATTAAAATTTGGTTTATTTTTTGGTAAGTGACGATGCAAAATTAATTTACCAAATTACCAAATAAGTAATAATTATTTTTCATTTTGAACAGTATGATTTGGTCAATATGTGGCTGTATGAATGAAGATGGGAAAAGGAAAATTGATGTTTATATAAGAGGAATAGAAAATGTTTTTCCTATTGAGGATACTGTTTTCCATTACTACGTAGATAGTAATTGCTGTAAATTTAAACACTGGAAAGAAAAACTATCATTGAATACATGGGAATACAATGCACAGTGCGTATGTAAATAAAATTTGTATACACACTGGAATAAAATTCTTTATATCTATTTTAGAACACAATTTTCCAATATAATTATTCCAACAATAGATATTATTTGTTACAATTATCTAATACAATTATACTTGAGAAAAAAACAACCAGTCATGCTAGTTGGTCCTAGTGGATGTGGCAAAACATTTAATGTAAAAAATGCATTTGAAACTATGAATAAAAATGAATTTTCTTATTTTAATATAACTATGACAGCTCATACTACATCAACTGATGTTCAAGATATGATTGAAGAAAAGTTGGAAAAACGGACTAAGGAACTTTATAACCCACTAACTGGTATTTTTTCAAATCGATATATACATACAAATGCATATTTGATTTAATGTAAATTAAATTCCAGGAAAAACAATGATTACTTTTCTGGACGATATGCATATGCCTATAAAAGAATCATGTGGGTCACAATCTTCCTTAGAATTGATAAGACATTGGGTTACTTATGGATTTTGGTATGACAAAAAAAAACAATGCCCAAAATATATAAAAAATATGCTGCTTATATGTGCTATGACTGTGGTTGATAATGTTAAAAACCCCATTAGCGACCGAATAATGAGTTGTTTTAGTGTTTTCAATATAAAAACTCCAGAAGAAAAGGATATTTTTGAAATTTACAAAACTATACTCAGTCAACATTTAACAGATTTTGATGAATCTGTTTTTGAACTTGGTAAAATTCTAACCATATAACAGCACAATATCTATTAAGCAAAAAAGCACGAGACCAAAAAACATACTGTAAAAAAAAAAGGTTCATTGTAAATTAATATTGCAGAATATTCAGTATCAATAAGCCGTTATATATGAAAAACATGCTTTTGAATAACTACCTAATTATTTTTAGATTCAGAGCCTAGCAAAGGATTTTTTGGTTTAACAATAATGATTTTTTTTTCTGCTTTTAAAAATCTTTTCTGCCAGAAATCTTTCTCCGATGTATGGAGTGTAATATATTTTCTGACAGCAAATATTTTTAGTTGGTGGAAAATCTATCATTTTTTGAGTTTCCAAGGGACTTTCAAAATAATTGATAAAAACCGTAAAGAAAATTATAGGCAAAACGGCAAATACAAGCTGTTATGTTACTAATTTCCTAGTTTTTAATTTTTGTAAACTATATTTTATACCAGAAATAATGCTCCAATAAAAAAATAATGAAAACTTTTTGTTTTTTTTTAATATAGTTAGTGATTAAGTATTTAGTTTTTTAATTTGCCAAGTTATTTTTTAAATAAATTTCAATTCAACAGCACACATAGGTCAGGTTATAATTTTTTAGCTAGGTACTTGAACTTTCTCATTAGCAATTTCATTATAGATGGATCAATTCTTACATATTCAATAGATTTTGATAGTGATTGTTTGCCAATTTATTCAGTTTCTTGTTTTAAAAAATTATTACCTGATTTATTATGATATCAACAATACTTCTTTTTACAAATTATTACTTTGGTAGTTATTTTTAAATTTCAAAAAATTTTAAGTAGGTATCTATTTCGTATAATATGAATTTAAAAATTTGAAATGGATATAAGCACTAAAAATTGATTACTGATTCACTTATAAACTCTATCAATTATAAACAAGTGTGTAAGATGTAATTAATTTAATTAGTAATCACAAAGTTGAAATTTATTTAAATTAATCGTAGCTCAGTTGGTAAAACTTAACTCTGTAATAGATTATTATTTCAGAAATCAACCTTTCATAAGAGTTTAGTTGTGTTATGTGTTGTACCTAAAAAATAAAAAACTAAGTAGATCTTTAATCTTTATGCACTTATGGTAAAACATTTATTACTACGTACTATAGAATATTATTCTTGAAATATACAATAATATATTCTTTAACTGTAGGAACTGGAATGACATTAATGACAATAAGTCTTTATAAATATTTGGTTTCCAACATGACTCCATCTCCAACAAAATTTCATTATTTATTTAATTTAAGAGATATATCTAAGGTAGGTAACAATAACATATTATAATATATCATGAAAAATAATTTTAATTACTGTACAAAACTGTAATAGTTTATTATTTTTAGGTTTTTCAAGGTTTACTGCGTAGTAATATCATATATCAAAATTTTAAAGTACATATGTTGCGACTTTGGTGTCATGAAGTACATCGTGTGTTTTATGACAGATTTGTAAATGAAAAGTATAAAAATACTTTTAATTCATAATACTTATCTACAACTGAAATCTAATATGCATTGTATTGTTTGTATTTTTTAGTGATAAAATACAGTTCTTGGATCAAATAAATCTTCTACTTCAAAATAATTATAATTTAACATATCCCAATTTGTGTAAATCTGAAAAAAATCCAATATTTTTTAATTTTCTAAATGAACATATGTTATACGAAGAAGTAATTGATAATGAGTACTTGAAAAAGTTCATTGAAAATAATATTAAAGAATACAATTCCAACTCTGAATTTGTACCATTAGAAATATTGCTGTTTAGAGATTATATTGAACATATCTGCCGTATTGTTAGAGTCATATCTCAGCCAATGGGACACATACTTCTTATAGGCATTGGTATGTTAAGTTTCTGTTTGTTTTATTTAGTTTTTAGATATTTTAAAATAGAGAGTTTTTTTCTTGGACCTTTTTAAAATTTAATATCTATAGAGAGTGATTCACTCAACTGGAAACATTCATTGTTTCGAAAAGTATTTTTTTTTTTCGGTTTTTGTTTTCTAGAAAATTTAAGAAACAAGCAGCCCTACAGTTTTTTTTAGATTTTTACAATTATGTTTTTCTCATCTCCCTTATTTTTGGGAGTAAAACTACTACCTACTTTTGGTTTTCATATGGCAATCTAAATTTAAAATTCTATAAATTGATAGAGTATTAGTTAAAATAATAAATTTTGGTGTTGACAATTTCGATTTCTGTCAATCTGTTAAAGAGATATTTCAGTTTTAAGTTTGGGTTAGGAGAGAGTAATGGTGCATTATTAAAACACTCTGCACCATGCTGCCACACAAAGTTTCACCTGCAAAAATATGGATGGCAAAAAAAAATTATACCTAATGTAACATGTTAGAACTATTTGTTTCTCAAGTTTTAAAAAAAAATCATAAAAATGTTTTATTTTCCGAGATAATGAGTGAATCACCCTGTATACTGTAAAATCTATATATTACTTTCAAATAGCCAAATATTAAAATATTATTATTTCCCTTTTATGAACAAGTACTACACAGCAACTATATATTAATATTATTGATTCAGTTTTACTCATCTCAAGAAAAATTATATTTTATTTTTTTAAATGAATTAATACTTTGTAGTCAGTAGATGAACTAAATATAAAATTCCTTAATCGTTAAAATTACTGCTTTTAGATAGCTTTATTTCTATCAAATATTAACTATAAATATTTTTAGGTGGGTCAGGTAGATCATCACTATCAAAAATAGCCTCGTGGTTATGCAAATATAGTATTTTTACAATTGAACCATCAAAATCATATGGAACATCAGCATTTAAGGAAGACTTAAAATTAATCTATTCAGAGACAGGGATAAAAAATCAACCAACATCATTTTTGTTTAACGATATGCAAATAGTTAATACATTTTTTTTAAAAATTATTAACAATATTTTGAGTACTGGAGAAGTGACAAATTTATTCAAAGAAAATGAACTTGAAGAAGTAAAATGATGAGAGATTAAAATTGGTACCTATGTATTACAAATTCAATTATGTGTCTATTTTAGATTCAAAAGTCATTATCAATAACTAAAAATAATTTGAATGAAATAGAATCAACTGAAGAATTTCATTTGGCTTTTATAAATCAAGTTAAAAAAAACCTACACTTAATTCTGTCTTTTAGTCCTATTGAAAACTCATTTAGGTTTGTATACTTAATACGCTTTAGCTCTTTTTTTCCCCACTTGTTCAATTTAATACTTGCTTATTAAAATGATAATACAGTAAACAATATAAATTATGTACAATTAACATTTTAATTAATAAAATAAAAAAGACATCCTAAGATAATGAGGACAGGTGTAACTACTGTTATAGATAATTCAATGTATGCCTGTAAGCAACGATAAACTATTGCTAACGAAAGAAAATCAATTCTGAGCGGAGTTCAGTTACAGTGATGCTTTATCAACAATATATATATATATACTAGTTGTCCCGCGCATTTATTATTGTTTTACCCATATTCATTTTTGGTTTTAGCCGTGTTAGAATTGAATGAAAACAATAGGTGGAAAGTGGGTAGTCCACCTTCGGTGAAATAAGTGTTCTATTATGACATATTATTCATGATTTTCATACGAAAAATAACGAACCCTCGATTTTTTTTAAATGGGGAGGGTTGATGGATTTCAAAGGAAGTTAAGCCTAATCTAACTTATCAGGGAGTGGAAACGCAAGACAGTGGAAAGCGCGTGTACCATATTATAGCTAATTGTTCGCAAACAGCACAGTGTTTGTTTTATATCTTCATGTGAACATTGGCCGACAATTTATATTAATATAAAGTTAATAATTCAGTTGTCAATCTGTATATATAAAAATGGATCAAAATCAATCTGTATATATAAAAATGGATCAAAATTTTGTCGGTGATGCCTTAACTTGAATACCATCTAAATTTCAAACTTTTCCAGTAGATTTTCCAAAAATCGTCTTTCATAATAACCTTTTGAATACACGAAAAAAAATCAGGTATATCGGTCCGTCCGTTTTCAAATTATGGCTNGTGAACATTGGCCGACAATTTATATTAATATAAAGTTAATAATTCAGTTGTCAATCTGTATATATAAAAATGGATCAAAATTTTGTCGGTGATGCCTTAACTTGAATACCATCTAAATTTCAAACTTTTCCGGTAGATTTTCCAAAAATCGTCTTTCATAATAACCTTACGAATACACGAAAAAAAAATCAGGCATATCGGTCCGTCCGTTTTCAAGTTATGGCTTCGGCGAAAAAATATCAATTCATTTATACATACCTATATAATATAAATGTGTGTATTTGCCAATATATTCAAATTTATATTTAAAAAAATAATAACTCGATTGTATCACTCTTGGCGCCCTCTGATGAATCTTTATTTATTTATTTTCTATCAGAATGAACATCTCAATTTTAGGACAACTTACACGGAATATCTTACTGATTATTCATTGTTTTGTTTTTTAATTTCATCCATGTCCGCTACCCTTGCAATGCCACTTATCGGGTCCAATTGTGAATTAAACCATCCAGGAATCCATTCAAACACACATAAAAAATTTCGACAAAATCAGTCCAGCCGTTTAGGAGGAGTTCAGTGACACACACGTACAGTAGAATTATATATATATGCCTTATAGTAAAATAATTAAATAGGCTTTATATATTTTTTTTAATAATATTTGTTTAATATTTTGCCGATTTTCCTATGTTTTTCCCGGTTTTTCACATTTGCTAGGAAAACTTAGGAAAATCAAAAAATAATCTGTCTGAAAGTACCTCCCCATCGGGTTTCCTTTCAGAAAAATGTCATTATAAATTGGAGCGAAATTACTGGTAGAAAAGTTGTTCACATGGAAAAAGAAGCCCGTAATATATTTTAACTAATACCGATATTTCTTATATTTTACTTTTTTTTCGGGTTTTCAAATTTGATGAGAAAACGCCTGAAAAAATTCGAAAAATCACCTGTTTAAAGTACCTTCCCAGTTGGATTTCCTTTTAGAAAATTGCTATCATTATAAATTGGAGCAAAATTGCTGGTAGAAAAGTTGTGCATAGAAAAAATGGTAATATTTTAGTAATATATTTCATAAATTTTCCCATTTTTCTTCGGTTTTTCAAATTTGATAAGAAACTTGAAAAAATCGAAAAATTACCTCCTTAAAGTACCAACCCTACACCGATTTTTTTCAGAAAATGTACTTCACTTAAAAATCAGAGCAAGGTTTTTAGTAGGAAGGGGGTTCACAAATAAAAAAAAAAAAAAATAATAATCATTTTTGTAAACCATAATCTTCTTCACTCCACTCAGAATCTAAAATGTTTAATAATAATTAGATGTTGGTTATTAAATTGGATAATATGTTTTGTATGAATATACAAATATATAAAATCAATAGTATAACTAAAAATCTAAATTTTTATTCTATGCACAAATATAGAAAACGATTGCAGCAATATCCTTCATTGATAAAATTCACTACAATTGATTGGTTTTTGGATTGGCCAAAAGAAGCTTTATTGGAAGTAGCAACTACTTCACTAAGTGATCTGGACATTTTAGCTACAATTTCTGAAGAACAAATAGTAAGTTTTTCAATTTTCATTTCGATTGTAATGTATACTTAAAAAAGATGAAAAAAAAACTTTTCGTTCAATTTCTACATTCTTTTATAATTTCTGATTGGTATTTTGGGGTTGTGAGCAACCCATTTTATGAAAACATTATATTTCCCTACTACATATACAGTTAATGCTAATTTATAATTATTATTATTTTTTGAAATTTTCCTTATAAATTAATTATATTTAATAAACATATAGCTTTAAGCAAAGGCAGATTTCTAATATTCTTACTTTATTTTCATGATACATTCATTGTTAACGAAAAAAAGAACACTCAGAATCTAAAATTACTTCTTACTAGTGATTTAAATATTTTAGTATAATGGCAATACGTATATATGTATAACACTATTATGACCTTTTAATAATTTAATTTGAATTTAGTTTCATACAAAAGTATGCAAATTAACCAAGTTTTAATTAGTTTTAACTTTTAGTTAAGTTGTCCAAAAAAAAACTAAGCTAAAGTTAGGTTTGGTTTCTATTAGTTTATTTTAAATTGTACAATATTAGAATAAATACCTAATTAAATTATTTTATATTTCCAGGAAAATAATAACTCAAAATAAAAGTTATCATTTTAAAACTAATCCTTAACCACACTCAAATGTATTTTGTACTCTAATATTTTCCTGTTTTATGCAGCTAACAATTTTATAATTTTTTTTTTCGTATGTCTTTTCAAATTTATCTTTTTCATCTTTATCTTTATCTTTACGCGTTTTCGCCTATCTAATTTCCTCCAGTTTTCTAACATTCTTCATTTATGTAATCCCCATTCTTATGAGGTTTTTTCCCACCACATCCAATCATATCTTCCTGGGCTACCTAACCTAACCTAACCTAACCTAACCTAACCTAACCTAACCTGCCCTCGAGGTCACTTTTCTGTTGATTTCCATTCTAGGACTACTTTGCTTATATAATTCTTATTTTTCCGTAATACATGTCCCAACCACTGGATCCTTTGTCCTCGTATGGATCTTATGGCTGATGCAATTTCAATTTCTTCCTACAGTTTTTGGGTTCTTTGACCCCTTAAGTACTTCTTCACTCGTGTTGTAGTACTCTCTGTCCACCTCTAATAAACTAAGCGTAATTATATAATACCTATATACCATATAAATTGATACAATCAATATTTATAAATATACAATATGGTATCGCTTTACTAATAATTTGATGTATGCATAAACCATATGGCCATTGCATTATGTGATATTTATATTCACCTAAAAATAAATAATTTTCATAGACATCTTAAAGCAGAAAACATAGGTACACAAAATAGCTTATAAAATATAAATAGCTTTTAGATTAAACCTACATTATACACAGGATATTTTCTAAAATACAATTTGTTTTAATCTATTTAATTTAAAAGTAATCAACAATGCAACATTATAAGTTACTTAATAAAATTAGACCTACCTAAATATTTTTCAAAAATTGGTACCTATTGTTTTAACCTAAATGCACTTATTTAAAAATTGTATTTTTACAAATTTGCATTTCAGCACCATTTTAGTACCTATTTAAAAAAGAACTTATTTTCCAGCTTAGAAATTTAGTAATAACTTAAAGTTATAGCACACTGTATATATATGTAATACACTATAATATATCTTGGTAAAAAAGTGGTAGCATAATATGTAGTTATATGTACTGCTCACACATAACATAAGTAATGATTTATACACATTTTAATTTTTAACAAGTTACAAGTTATCCAATATATTTTGTACAATAATAACATTATTTACTTGATATTAATTACTAACATTACATTTAGAATGTTTGTATTTTATAATTATGTATTATAATTTTACAGATACATGATATAGAAAAAAAAAGGATAACTCGGGTAAATTTGAGTACTTATTAAAATTATAATTTCATTGATAATAGATATTGTTTTATTTTAATATACATGCATATAATGATATTATTAAAATATTTATATTTTATTATAGGATGAATTTATAAGTTCTCTAGCATTTATTTTTGCCTCAATTCATCATTCTGTAATTGAGTATACTAACAATGTTAAATTTGGCTTAAAAAGTGGAAATAATATAACACCTAGTGTTTATTTAGATATGATATTTAAATATAAAAAGTAAATATTTGTTTTGAATTAAATATAACTGTTTTATATAGTAATCATATTCAACTGAAATATGATAGAATACTTCAAGAAAAACGTATTGAAAAACAAAGTATATCAATTAAATTGAGACATGGTTTACGAAAAATCAATGATACTAGTCTTAAAATAAATGATATGACAATGGAATTAGAAAAAGTCACAGAACTTATTATAAAATACACTAAGGAATGCGAAGAAATATTTACTGTTATTTCTGAAAATATTAAAGACATTGACAAACAAAAAAAGGAATTTGATACTATTAGCATGAAGATAAAAAATGATGAATTTAGATATCAAGAAATAAACAATTTAGCATTAGCTGAATTAAAACTTACATTTCCTGGATTAGAAGATGCTATGTGTGTACGGAAATTAACCTAACCTATCCATTATACATTTTTTTTTAAAAAAAGTGTTAACATATTATTATTAATAATTATTAATTCATATTAATTAATTCTATTAATTCATTTTAGAATATATGTGCTCTCAATAAAAAAGATCTCTCAGAAATCAAAAATTTTTCAATACCTCCAGAAGGAGTGAAATTAGTTTTAGAAGCTATTATGACATTGAAACAAGCTGATCCGAGTTGGGCTGAAGCTAAAAGACAACTCGATGATCCAAGTTTTCTAAATCAGGTAAAGTACTTATGATTTATTAAAATATCTATAATATACTAATAATAATGATAACTTTATGATTATTGTAGTTAAAAGATTTTAATAAAGATCACATAACAGATGATATTCTTGAACAAATTAGTGTTTACATAAAAAATCCTGATTTCGATCTGGATAAAATTGGTACTCAGTCAATAGCTGCAAAGTGTTTTGGCATGTGGCTTATTGCTATAGAAAGATATGCTCGAATGTACAGGTAAGATAGTACCAATTTTATATAATAATTAAACTATATTTCTTTACATACATATTTTAAAATTAGAACTATAGCTCCAAAAAAGGCATCTACTGATTTAGTAATGGCCATAGTTAAAGAAGAACAAAAAGCCCTCAAAAATATTGAAAAAAATCTAACAGAAAAAAACAATTTTCTTGAAAAACAAAAACTTGAGTATAATGAAAAAAATATAAAAAAAGAACATTTTATTACTAAAGTAAGTTGAAAAATTTACACTATACTTTAAACAGATATATGTTAGTAAAAATTTAAATATTCTTAAATAGGCTGAAGAATTAAGAAACAGCTTAGAAAAAGCAACAAAACTAATAGATGAACTGTCCAAAGAAAGAAAAAAATGGAACATAACTGTAAACCAAATTGATATGGAATTTAATTATTTACCAGGAGATTGTGTTTTAAGTACTGCATTTGTATCATACATGGGTCCATTTAGGTTTAAGAGTCGAGAATTTCTTATGGATTTATGGTTAAATTTTATGAGAGAAAATGGGGTTCAATATAATCCTAACTTTGAAGTAACTTTATTTCTTACGGATCCAGAAACAATCAGAAATTGGAATAACAACGGGTTATCAAACGATAGATTTAGTTTAGAAAACGGTGTGATAATTAACCAAAGTTATCGGTATCCATTTATAATAGATCCTCAAAGTCTAGCTTGGAAATGGATAAAAAATATTGAATTTGATAATGGATTAATAATTATTAATAACAAGTCAATAAATAGTATGCACAATTTAGAAACAGCTCTAAAAAATGGATATCCAATATTAGTACAAATCGACTTTGAAAATCTTGACCCTTATATCTTATCAATAATATACAAGTCAATTGTGAAACAAAGTAAGTCGATTACAGTAAATTGTTGTTTTATTTAATGGATATAAATACATCCATCCATATATACTTATATATTAAATATTGTTATAGGAAACAAACTGTTTATACAAATTTGTAACAAACTACTACCATTCAATGAAAATTTTAGAATTTATATTACAACAAAAATAAAAAATTCTTATAATTTTCCTGAAATATTAGCACGCACGACAATAGTAGATTTTGCTATTCAAGAAGAAGGTCTTGAAGAACAATTATTAAAAACTTTAGTCAATATAGAAAATCCTAGTTTAGAAGAACTTAAAGAAAAAACATTTGTTGAAATTGAAAAGAATAAAAAATGTCTTGTTGTAGTACAAGATGAATTACTTAAGTTATTAGATGAAAGTGAATGTTCATTATTGGAAAATGAACAACTTCTTCAAAAATTAAAATCTTCAAAAGCAAAATTTAGCATCATTAATGAACAACTTCAAAGCTCTTTGTCTAGTCAAGCAGAAATATATATAGCTCGAGAGGTATAATTTTATTAATAATGAATTCATAAATTATTGAAAATTAAATAATGGGATTTAGTGCAGTTACACTGGGTTAGATATTAACCTATTTATGTAAATAAACTAGTAATTTTATTTCAACAATGTTATGTGATGTAGGTTTAATTTGTATTAAAAATTATGTACTATAATACCAAGAGATTCATTTAAGAAACAAGCAGCTCTATAATTAAATATTATTTATTTCATCTTTATTTTTAAAGTAATAACTTTTTATTTATTCACTTTAGAAAATTTTCAAAATAGCCATTTTGTAAAAATATTGTTTTAAAAATTTTAATGTATCATACATTCATATCTGATTAGTAGTTTCTTAATTATAGCTGTTTTAATTTCTGGAAAATAGGCGTGAAAATGGCCATAATTAAAAACTAATTCATCAAATATGAATGTGTAATATATTAAAATTGTTTGAATAATTTTTTTTACAAAATGGCTATTTTAAAATTTTCTAACATGGATAAGTAAAATTATTTTTTTTTTGTGTGTTTAGGGGATGAAAATAAAATCTTAATTTTTTCCAAATAGATGTCCCTCTCAAAGCAAACTGATTGAAAAAATAAAATTATAAAAAAGTAATATTAACAGCGCAAGAAAAATCCGTTGAACACGGTGGAACATCATGTATTCAAATTCTGATTTTTTTAATTTTTAGATGTAGTTAAAGCCAATATTTTCGAACACTTAGATTTTTCACAAAAGTTAAGGAGTATCCTGTGGTGAGACCAACTTTGTTTTTTTAAAATAACCTATATTAAAAACTCCATAAGTAGATGGACTACAGAGTGTTACTTTAAATGAATTTTGGTGTCAACATTTTTATTTTCTGTTAACCTGTTAACGATATATTTTACTTATAAGTTTAAGCAGGAAAGTAGTGGAGTATAATTTGTATACCGGCACATTGCCTGGTGTTTAAATAGTGCTCCACTAGTCTCCCCTACCTAAACTTAAAAGCAAAATATCTCGTCAAAAGTTTGACGAAAATCAACAATTTTGACACCAAAATGTATTTAAAGTAATCTATCTATTTATGGGATTATTAATATAGGTGTAACTGGATTATCCTAGGACGTCATTTTTTTTTTTTTTTTTTTATAAGAACTTTAATATAAAATTTTGACAAAAATTTTAAATATTACGGGCCTTCAAAACATGTGCAACCTAACTTTACCCCAAAACCTTTTTTCTTTGGCAATAGTTTACCGTTTCGTATAGATATAAATTAAATTCCTATCTGTATCCTACTTCTCCTACTTTTCATCTAAAGTGTTTTCCCGCCCATCGTGTGAAGTATATCCGTCTTTCCTTTCAATTTAATTTTAATTGAAGATACTAAACTACCCAATAAGCCTCTTCAATAAAATGGATAAAACACCAATAATTTCTTGATATTATTGTAATTTTATAGGTTCAGCTATTGCTTATATGGCTTATAATGCAATGACACATCTTCACCTAAGGCTCTTATTCTCCATTGTATACATAATATAATATAATATTAAAATTATTAAAAATCATCATTCATCATTATTGATAATGGATACCCATAATTGGCTTAATTTATTATTTTAGGTCTATAGGCCATGTGCCAAACGTGCTTGTACACTATATTTTATTCTCAATAACCTGGATAAAATTAATCCAATGTACCAGTATTCATTGGATTTTTATATTGCATTGTTTGAAAATTCTATTAAAAAGAGCACTATAGTAGAACATCTTCCTGAAAGAATAAATCATTTAAATGAATTTCATACATATGCAGTTTACGAAAACGTCTGTCATGGATTATTCGAACATCATAAGTTGCCTTTTTTATTCCAAATATGTATTCAAATATTGATTATGGAAAATAAAATAAATGTTGATGAGTTGGAATTTCTATTAAATGGTGCAATTGAACCCAAAAAAAAAAGGCTTATTACAACACAATGTCCAAGTATGTATGCATTTTTTTTTTTCTTATGAATATATAGAAATAATATTAATACTTCTCTTGTTTTAAGATTGGTTAGAGATAACATGCTGGAACAAAATTTTGGCATTAAGTGACTTGCCGATTTTCGAAGACCTAGCAAAATCATTTGAACAATTTCCAGCTGAGTGGTATACGTGGTATACAGCTCCAAACCCAGAAAATCTAGAACTTATTGGTACATTTCACTAACATAAATATATATATTTATTTTAAAAACTTATTATAATAAAATTTACTTTGTGTTATCAGGTCTATGGGAAAATAAATGTAATTTATTCCATCGCATATTACTTGTACATAGTTTACGATTAGATCGATTATCATTTTCTATTAAATATTTTATAACAAAAAACCTTGGATCTCAATTTTCTGAAACACCAATTTTTAATATCAAGAATATTCAAAATGATAAAAATGCTGTGATATTTATTTTATCACCTGATTTTGATCCAACCAATATGTTAATGAATATGATTACAAGCAGCAATAAAAAAGACAAGTTTCGATCTTTATCTTTAGGCAATGGTCTAGAATCAGTTGCTACAAAGTAATTAGTTTGAATTGTATTGAATATATTATATACCTATCCAAGTTTAATTACAAAAATTTAAAATATATAAATAGCCTAATTCAAACCGGACAGAAAGAAGGTCATTGGATATTTTTAGCAAATTGCCACCTCTTAATTTCATGGATGCCACAGTTAGAAAAAATAATTGAAATGATACTAAGTAGTAACAACCATCCAGATTTTAGATTATGGTTGAGTTCAAAGCCACATCCAAAATTTCCAATAACATTATTACAAATTGCTTTAAAAGTATCAATTGAACAACCTAAGGTTAATAAATAAATATAAAACAAAATATTAAATGTATCACTAAATTGTATAATTAACATTACTTAACATATTATGTACACAATGATTTTATTATTAGAGTCTCAAAAATAATATGCTACATATATATCAAAATATTAATGAAGAACAATTTTCTCAAAACCAATCCAGCCATTACAAAAAAATACTGTTTAACTTATGTTGTTTTCATTCTATACTTATCGAAAGAAAAAAATTTCAAAACCTCGGTTGGAATAAAATATATGATTTTAATGATTCAGATTTTAAGGTAAAATATTTTAATAATTGATTATTATTTACAAAATTATATTTTAAAAATATTAAACAATTTTTTTGAAAAACGTTGAAGTACATAAATTGTCTGATCTGTATTTATATCTTAATTAAAATATATACATTTAGGTGTCAGAAAATATTTTGGCTTATTACCTTAATGAATATGAAGAAATTCCATGGGCTGCGTTAAAATATTTAATAGGAAATATTTTTTATGGTGGTTACATAGCTGATATTTGGGATAAAAGACTCTTGGACATTTATGTAAATCAATTTTTTAATGCAAATTCTATAACACCATTTCACAAGTACATAATTTTCTACCATTGGTATGATAATTTAATTCTTGTGATTATTTTAATTGTATATTTTTAAGGTTAGTAAATGCCCAAGTTCCAGAAAATGGGTTTTTACAATCATACAAAGACTTTATAACAACATTACCAAATGAAGATTTGACTCAAACGTTTGGTCAACATCCAAATGCAAATGTGATTTATTTAAAAGAAGAAAATTATTTATTATGTGAAACACTTAGATATTTACAAGAGCAATTTAATGGATTACCAGATGATAATGACAAAGAAAATAAAGTGTTATTTCAGTTGTCTCAAATTCTTCAAAATTTGCCTTCATTAATTAAACCTGAATCTTTACTAATAGAAAGGAACATAGTGAATTTTGTAATTTTGCATGAGGTACTCTCTCCCATAAATTAAACAACTTAAAAATAATATATATTTTTCTTTTGTGTACTGAAATTGTGCAAAATCATCATCAGATTGATTTGTTTGGATATACAAATGGTAAAAAAAGAAATGGTTGATATTAAAACACAAAACTATTTCAATTTCAGATAACGTGTTATAATAATTTACTAGAAAAGATGAAAATTACACTGATGACATTAAAAAAAGGAATCACTGGTCTAATTTTAATAACTCCAGAGTTCGAAAATATGTTTCAGACTATCTACATTGGCAAAGTACCAGAGCAATGGTTAAAAAGTATAAGAACATTTATTTTGTTTTAATTATATATATTTTATATTTTAGTCTGTAACAAAAAAAATTCTCAAACTTAGTTTCAGTGTTTATTATTTCTGTCAAGTTTGTGAGTCTAATACAAATAATTATTAAAATTTTATTTTAAGCATATCCATCATTAATGAATTTGGCTGCGTGGACACAAAATTTAATGGAACGTGTAAAATATTTTAATACTTGGGCGATTACAAATCAACAACCAGTTTCAGTTTGGTTGGGAGCTTTTGTGTTTCCTTCTAGTTTCTTAACTAGTATACTCCAAGTATAAAATTATTATTATCAAATTTTAAATTGTATAATTTGTATTATATACTACTATATGTTTATATTACAGAACGAATCAAAAAATTCTTCAGTGCAAATAGATTTACTAAACTGGCAGTTTATACCTATTACAACACCTTTAAATGACTTAACAATACCTCCAAATGTACATGTTATTTTACAAAATACAATTAAAAATACATACATATGATGAAAAAACTAAGCCTGGACTTAAGAGTATTATAATTTTTTAGATTCTGAGCATTGTGAGGAATGTATTGATTTAGAATGTTTATTTTTTTATTTTTATACTGTGTACATAATTTCTACCAGAAATCTTGTTCCAATATATCAAGTGTAACATCTTTTCTGAAAGAAAATTGTATTTAGTTGATACTTTAGAAAGGTAATTATTTTAATTTTCAAAGTGGTTTTCATAATAATTGGGAAAAACTTAGAAAAATGGGATAATTTATGAAAATAATGTTTTTATTACTCTAAATTTTTTTTTTTTGTTATTCAGTTAAAAATAATCGTAGAGACTTGATATTTGAACAGAAAACTTATTGCTTTATTATTATTAATTTTTCTAGATGTGGTAACATTTTGAAAATATTTTAGTTATTTTTTAGTTATTAATAGACATTTTTATTTTACGAGTATTTTTTACTTAATTGTTAATATCAATAGGAGGATAAAATTGTTAGACCAAACAGAAATGCTTGGAAATTTAACAGAAAATTCATTATAAGTTATACTTAGTGGTCAACCAAAAAAAGTTAAGTTTATGTGGTAAATATTTTTTTTATATATATATATAAGAACTTAAGTATTAAATTTTAACGAAAATCATAAATATTACAGCTTTTTAACACATATATGACCGTAATCTGCTCAAAATCGTTTTTCGTTAGGACTTATTATTCCTTACATACAGATATATGATAAATTCTCCTCTATATCCTACTTTCCCAACTTCTCACCTACAACAGTGGCCCATCCACCATATGAAAAATTGTTAATGAAAATACGATTCTAAGCGGAGTTCAGTTAATAATGTTGCTTTGTCAACAATATATATGTCATATTATGGTAAAATAATTACATGGGCATTATATATTTTCTTTAGTAATATATGTTTAATATTATACCTATTTTACTGATTTAGGAAAACTTCTCGGGAAAATCAAAAAATGTTTTTCTTAAAGTACCTGCCTAATGCGATTTCCTTTCAAAATAGGTGCTAAGCTTAAAATTCGGAGCAATATTTCTGGTAGAAAAGTTGTGCACAAATAAAAAATAAACATCTTAGTAAAACCATAAGTTTCTTCGATCCACCAGAATCTGAAATGTTAAGTAACAATGATAAATCGTTAAAATCTTAAAACAATTTTGAGCAGAGTAATTTTAATAGGTAGTGTTTGTTCCCTGGTTACCAAGATAGGTAACCTAAGTATCAAAAGGGTGAACTGCTAAAAATTTCAATAGACGTGTCTAATAAATTACGCATTGTAAAACAAATCCGTTTAGTTTGAATTATGACAGCAAAATTGGAACATTTTTATTAAGTGAAAAAATTTTTCCAAAAATGAAAAATAACTTTGTAAACCAATAGCTATAATTTTTTTGTTATACTCGACATTTAAAATAATAAAATAATTGTCATATGAAATGCTAATAAATAAAGAGACAATCAACTAGAGGTATAATTCCCAAAACAATAATTAAAAAAATATTAATACCTACAATTACTGCCTAATGAAAACAGACTAAATCAGACACTGTATACATTTTAATTACCTACCCCCATTGAATAGTGTATCTACCCCTACTATTATAATACTCCAGGTTTAGTTTTTTCTTCATATTTATTTTATATATCTACCTAACTACCTTTATTTTTTTCATAACTATTTTGTTATGACAATTTTTGTTTTTGGTTTTTTTCATATTTATTTTGAATGTTTGTTTTGTGTAGAAAGGAGTGTATATACATAATCTATATCTAGAAGGTGCTGGTTGGGATATAAAAAATATGTGTTTATGCGAGCCATTGCCATTAGAATTCATAGCTAAATTACCCGTTATAAACTTTGTACCAGTGGAAGGCAAGATAAGACTCAAAGGTTAATAAATACTATTGTAGTATATACATAGGCATATTTAAATTAATATCAAATTGTTGAATTTGATTTTAACTTTATTTTTAGATTTTTACTTGATCCCTGTATATTATTGTCCAGAGAGAAACAACAAAATGCATAGTAGCAATTCGTGCGTGGTCGTATTAAATTTAAAAAGTGGGGCTCAAAATCCAGATTACTGGACAAAGCGAGGCACAGCCATATTGTTAAATTTATAGAATTTAAATAAGTTAAATTGTCTTAGCATACAGAACACTGTTTTTTAAATATATTTATTTTACAATTGATTGTATTGATTTTGTATACCTACATACCCTTTACTAAGTATATCATTGTTTTTTATTACTACTTTTCATTGAATTTGATATATTGAAATCGATTTATTCATATTAATAAGCACAATTAAAGACCAGGTATCTTTTTGTTAATAAGTAATAACAATAATAATATATTTATTAGTTATTACCTATATTATATAATATGTATATTATCGTTGTATAATTGTTATATGTATAGTTTAATAAACAGGTAGATATAGGTAAGTATCTAGTAGATACCTACCCAAAAATGGCTTGCAACAGTGTATCCTGCTGGAAGTAAGGAACTGGTTAGAGGCTTGTGCTAAATATATTATAAAACTGTGCGGTAAGTAGTAACATACTGGCATAGATTAAAATAATATATAATATACATATAGTCAATCAATTTGATATAACATAATATAGCTTAGATGTTACTTAGCTACGGGACACATAATTAAAACTTAACCAATACGTGAAGTTTCAGTGCATAGTCAAAATTTAAATGGGCCGTATTAGGTATTATTTAAATAAGAAATAATTTTTTTCCATGCGCTATTTTACAGTTTTCAGTTAAAATAGCACTATCAGTGATTTTTATTTTTCACTTATTAAAGTTAAATGTAGGTAAATTAAGTTTTTTTTCAAGTGTTTTACATAAATTGTCTATTGTGATAATAAAAAGAGACGGAGGGCCAAACGGGATATGAAAAAATGATCATATTCTTTCATTATTTTAAAATTTACCAAAATATTTTAGAAATTCAAAAAAAAATGTTTAAGAACAAATTTTGTATACTTCAACCTAAAATATGCGAATTCGTAAACAAATAAAGAAATATGCAAAATTATGCAATAGGTATACATTTTAGATTCTGAATGGAGCAAAGAAGCATATGATTTTACAAAGATTTTTTTTTTTTCGTAAGGAACTTCTATCAGAAGACTTGCTCAGAAGTGTACCTTTCCTAAAAAGAAATCGGTGTGGGGAGGTTGTTTTTCGATTTTCCTAGGAATTTTCTCATTCAATTTGAGAAACCGAAAAAAAAAGGGAAAATATAAGAAATATAGGTAGGTATTAGTTAAAATATATTACGGCCTCTTTTTTTCTGAAGGTTAGGTTCTGAACCTTTTTTGAACAATTTTTCTAAAAGGAAATTTGACTGGGGAGTAATTTAATGGGGTCATTTTTCGATTTTCTAAGTTCCCAGCAAATGTGAAAACCGGTTTGCTTGAGTCATTACTCGAATAGGTAGTCGTAGTCGGATAAAAATATATCAATAGTCAATATTAACCTACCATTTACCATTAATAATAAAATGTATTTGTTTTAATTTTAAAAGTACGAATATTTTATTCCATAATGTAAGTACGGTAATTTTGTTACGGTGGCACCATCGTCGTAATGATATTGCTTATCAGTTAAGTTATAGAAAATATAGATAATACAAATAATTTTTCCTTGAACATCACCTAAATTTATAAATTTTAGTGTTTATTTTTTTTGAAATGGCCACTGAAGATGTATATGATCAGGTAATAATTGTAATATAATTATTTAATACATTAGTGATTGAGTAAAACAACATATCATATGTTTTAATTCATCTATATATCTACTATAATACCTAAATCTTAATTTCAAAATACATAGATACTGGAATCTATATTTTTACTTTTTATTTAGGTATTATTTCTAATCAACTTATATACTTATTGTTCAATAAATGTCTTAATTTACTCATGTAACATTATTTTGATATAAATACAAATTATATTGCTCTGAAAAATCTTAATATGATTTCATTCCTATTCATTAACATCAATGTTTTGGTTATAATACAAAATCAACAACTTGTTTCCTATAGTCATGCACTATATAAAACACTTACATTTTATCTGTTAACTCTTGTATTCTAGTTTCTTTTAATTGTTATTAGTTTTTATCATTAAGTTTAATGTTCTACAATATAATTATTGCTTTACCATTTGTGTACATTTCATCTCTGTACAAATGCAACATTAAAGTGTATACAATATATTAGGTACTTTACTATCAGTGTTTTGAAAACAATTTCATTTTTTACTTTTTTATTAAAATAAAATTTTTCCCTTTATAGATTTTTAGTCTGTATTCTGAGCAAGGAGCTATTATCCAATGACTTATGTTTAAATAAAAGTATCTCTTATGTATAGACATTAAAAATTTAAAATGGATAAATTTTACCACAGAGTTTATCTTTACATTCTTTAACAAATTAATAACTTAAGTTTTTTCAAGTAAACTGCTCAGAATCATTTTAAAATGCAATGATTATTATTTAGCTATTTACTTTGCATAAAAAGTATTTTATTCAATTAATAATTTAAGAACAATACTACTTTACATCAAAGTGAAAAGGAATTCCTACCAAATATTCAGTTCTTAATCTACCTATTTGTTTTAATAGTATTATAGTATTTCTAGAATTGTATTAATTATAATATATAGACTTTTATAAACTATGTGAAATAATAATAATAAAATTATAGAAATTATTATTAAGAATCATTAACATTTTTAAATATTACTACCAAAACACTAGTACTAAAAACTTTCTTTGTGTAGGCTATTTTTATAAAATTATTTTTTTGGAGCTATGATTCCTTCTAGTTGAGCTTTTAGTTGCTGGTTGGATCGTTTTAAAAAGTTAATCTCTTCATTGTGTCTTTGCTGTTCAGCAATGCGTTGTTCAGTTCCTTGTCTTTGAGCCATTTCATAATTTGCAATTGCTGTTGCTAAATCATCTTTAATTTTCTGTTTTTCAACTTCCATTTCAGTCAGTCGATCTTGCATGTCTAGCTTGTTGTGTTCTGCAGACAATGACTTTCTTATACCAAATGCTATACTACTCTCATATAATGATCGATATGCATCCATTGTCATGTTAAGTTCATCGCGAACTTTTAATAATAAAAGTCCACGTTCTGCACAATTAATAGTAACCTAAAAATGTATATTTTTTAAAAAATTAAAAAATGTTAATAATATCATATTTAATATGTAACTAACCTGACGAATTATCTCATCAAAACACTGAGAGTATAGAGCTCTTCTAATTGGACAAATACCTGTTTCTCGTGCCTGTAAATGTTGTAAACTCATATCCAACATTTCTGTCAACTTAATTACATCCGTTCTAGTAGCTGGTTGATTTGAAACTTTTTGTCTCCATTGTTTTCCATTTTCTTCCCATTCTCTTGGTGGCAGAATACAGTTAAGAATTTCATCACATTCTTTAATTTTTTCGTTTGATATTAAACCATCTTTTCCTTCTAGTTTCTGTTAGTAATAAATTAATTAACTTTATTAGCAACATACCTATTAGATTTAATTGTTCACAAACCTTTTTAGGTAGTTTTTCTTCGCGTTCAGTAACTAATACAGGATTACCATAACGTACCAAATTCATCTCCAGAGGTACTATTCTTTCTGCCATTATAAAAACTTTAAGTTTTTTGTTTTTATATTCGTAAAAAATGATCTAAAATTAATCTTATCTTTTATTTATTGTTGAGACACATAACTTTGGAAGAAAATTTTGACATAAAGTGGAATGGTATCTTTTAAATCAGTTGCCATGGCAAATTACAATTATTGATAAACAATATAATGCATTCATTGATAATTATTGTAATAAAGGTTTAAAACTCAAGTTTATTTATTTTAATTGCCATGAAATATATCTATACCAGTTTTGTTTTTTAAATAATTAATATATATAAATAAATTATAAATAATTTATTGATTATTACTCAAGGTATTATTAGGTACTTTTTCATATTCCTAAATTCACAAAAAGAAAAATGTTCTTTTTACATTTATTACAAATTTATATTATGAGCTTCAATTATAATAATTAAGTACTGTTTATGATGTGTCATTCAACTAATATTTGTATGTTATCATTTTAGTTTGACGAAGAAGAACAACAAGTAGAGAGTCAATCGTTTACAAAAGCTGGCCGAAAACGGCTTTTCTCTAAGGAATTACGTTGTATGATGTATGGTTTTGGTGATGATGAAAATCCTTACACTGAAAGTGTTGACATACTTGAAGATCTCGTAATTGAGTTCATCACAGAAATGGTATACTAACACCCATATTTTTTTATACTATTTTAATTTTTTTTATTGTATTTTATTTAATATTATCGATAGACACATAATGCCATGGAAATTGGACGTTCTGGACGAGTTCAGGTTGAAGATATTGTTTTCTTAGTAAGAAAAGATGCAAAAAAGTATGCTAGAGTCAAAGAATTATTGATGATGAATGAAGAACTAAAAAAAGCACGCAAGGCGTTTGATGAAGGAAAATTTGCTGGTAAAAATTAAATTATTTAAAACCAAATACCTAGTGGATCATAATTTTAAATGTTAAAATACTTTTGATGCACTTTTAATTGTAGGAAACATAACATTTTTTTTTAGTATTTCAATTTTATATTTTATTCGTATAATAATTCAATTTCAATGTAGTTTGGTGATATTGGTTAGAATTTTTAAAAAAAAAAAAAAATTGTTTATTTAATGTCTGTTTTTAAATTACACAAAATAATAATTATCATTTTATTATTTCAGGTAATGAAGTGCCAAGTAACGGAAATAATAGTATCACTAAATAATGGTTAATACTTTTTGAATGTGTTCAATGTTGTATTTATTTTAATTGTTTTTAACATGTATGTAAATAATTAACTACTGTCCAGTTTTATAAATAGCTTTAAGCATTTATACATTATAAATTCTGTTGTATTATTTATGTGATAAATTTTATGATAAACAAGGGCTTTTTTTTAATTATATATTTGAATACAAAAAACACCAATACACTATAATAATTAAATGTATTTACATACTATACTTGAATTTGATTCTCTATAGTTGTAATTTATTTATCAAAATTAATTAAATATTTAACTTAATAAAGTGGTTTATTATTTACCGGTTGTCACTTAATGTAATAGCTACTGTGATATAAATTAAGTTTTTAGAATTGGTAGAAAACTAGAGATTGTTTTACCTCCATAAGATATCAAAGCACTTTGGTTTATATTGTACTCTAATAGACATAATTGTAATTATATTTTTTTTAGTTTTGGTATTATTATTACTATCTTTATGTTTACATGGTATTATTAATGTTTATCATTCAAATTTATTGTATTAATGTTATTTTTTATGATAAAACAAATGAGTTGCACATGTCTTACTAATTTTGTATTAATGTTTACTGACATCAAATTAATTTTTAAAATGTAAGGTATATAATATTTCCCATTAAATTAGATACTATTATAAAATATGTTTACTTTAGTATGTTAATTTTAGTTACAATTTATAAACTGTTAGCCTAATTCTAATTTTTCAGAACAGATTAAAAATTGATTCATAGTATCATATTCATTCATATCAATCAGTTGATTTCATTGGAAAATAATTGTCTGATAATAGTAGATCTTAAATGACGTATTCATTTTTTTTTTAATAATTTAATAATCTCAAAATCACATTTTTGGAGTCCTAACAATTGTGAATTAGACCGACAAATGTAAGCTCATATAACTTTATTGTTCACCTTCCAGAGATTACAATAATTATATTTTAATAAATTCATTTCATAGAAACATAATAAATAAATTATACTGCAATAACAACAATACACATTCATAACTAACTTAAATGTCTTTTTTGCTACCTCATAATTCACTCAAGTTAAACGCAAGCTACTGAGAAAATATGGATGGGTTACTCAAAATCATACTTGTTTTTAATTTATGACAATTTTATAGGTTTGCATATTACTGGGCCTATGAAAATCCTAAATAGAATTCTTATTTGGCGCTTCATAAGTTAGGAATAGACAGATGGACAGATTATATAATTTGAAAAATATTTTAAAGTGGAGGATAATCTATATATTTAGACTGTCCCACAAAGATATACACCTTGAATATCTCCAAATATAATAAAGATAATCAAATTCTGTTTTTTATATTACAAGGATGAAGATTACAAATACTTATATTTAAATTAAATTTTTTTTGTAAAAAAATAATGAAAAATAAATATATTTTTTCAAAAAATGTTAAGGTAATCATTCTAAAGAGTTTGTTTTTATGAAAATTTTAATGCATCACACATTTATATCCGACGAATAGTTTTTAAGTAACAGCTGTTTTAAATTCTACTAAACCGATATTATCTAGGGAATAACTCAACAGCATTACGGTTTTCACACAGATTAGTAGAATTTAAAACGGTTTTTACTTAGAAACTATTCGTTAAATATAAATTCTACAGAATAACTATCTTAAAATTTTCCAAAAATAATAAAATAAAGTTATTTTTTTTAAATTTTTTTATAAAAAAATAATTCAAACAAAAAATATTTGTAGTCCTTATCCCTGTGAATATTTTAAAAAAGAAACTGAAATTGATTATCTTTATTATCTCCTGAGATATTTATGGGGTATATCTTCGTGGGACAACCAGTATACAAAATAACTTGTCATGACTGATTCATCATCATACAGCCTAAACTACTGGACGAATCAGGCTAAAATTTGACACATACATAGCTATTATGACATAGTCATCCGCTAAGGTGGATTTTTGAAAATTCAACTTCTAAAGGGGTAAAATAGGGGTTTTTAGGTACATTTGGTACTAATATCTAATTGATTATTTATTTACTTTTGTTTATTCAAGGGATACTTTGGTTATACAGATGATAATTTGGTTTTCACAGATAAGAAAACTATTATAAAGTATTATTATTACTATTATTTACACTATTAAAATTTCAAAATAGAACACTTTTTTTCATTTAATTCTGACATAGTCAAAATTAAAACTGGATATGGGTAAAAAAAATAAAATGGGCAACACTAGTTTTAATATAAAATATACAACCACATTTGATATTCTGTAGTCTGAATAGGTACCAAATCTAAATTAAGAAATTAAGTCAATATCAGAAATATTTGCAGTACCTACTTAGGTAATGAACCTACAATAGTGCCATTAAATGAAGAAAAATTGTATGTTTAGGTATTTGGGTAGGTATCTATCTAAGTAATTTATTTGTTTGGGTTTCCAAACTTGTGAAATCAATACCTATCTAATTAATAATTATGGCTGCCAGAATATTTACAATTTTAATCAAAATCGTATCAAATCTAAGTATCTAAATTGTTAGTAGGTAATAATATTATAAATACCAAGTATATAATCAATGATGTTAATTTTTTTTTTTTTTTGTGAATAACTTCTAGTAATTTTAATCCGATTGTTAAGTCTAGCACATTTTCTGGAAGAAAAGTTTATTGGGGTGGTATTTTGAAGAAGTAATTTATTAATTTTCCAAAAGAGTTTCTTAATAAATATAAAAAACAGGAAAATGTATGAAATATAAGTAGGTATTAGTAAAAAATATTGTGGCCTTTTCTTTTTTTCTGCGAACAACTTTTCTACTAGCAAGTTTGCCCCGATTTACAATGATAGCAATTTTTCTGAAAGCAGATCGGCAAATATGACAATAATATATACCTAATCCTTAAGATTTTAGAACATGGGTACTTAATTCGTTTTTCAAGTCGTAAAAAGTAAATATTTATAAAAATTTAAATTGCCATTTATTATTTTATAATGTATAGATGTTATTTTATATACTGTAGGTCCGTAGGATGTCGAACAGCAAACAATCAACAGAAGGTCCAAATTATTAGTATTTATTTAACTGTCAGCACTGACCTGTAGCCTACGTGTATGTTATCAAAATTTAAAAATTGTATCATAATAATACAAAATACAAATAATACGATCCAAACGTTATAGAAACAATTTCTATTTTTTTATTAGATATTGGAATAACTTTTTATCTGTATGTTTTGCAATTTCTTAAAACATTTTCTACATACTTGATAATGGAAAATTTATATCACCAAACAAATAGATTGATATTAGAAACACAAGAATTATTCCACAGATTGGAAAGTTCAAAATCTGAACTCATTGAAGCAGATGTGCAATCCAAAATATTGACAATATCAAAGTAATGAATTAATAATTATAAATACGATTTTTATTTTAAATTAAATACTTTAAATACTCCACATTTATTTGGTGTTTAGAAATTGTGAACATCTTGATATACTCGTACACAAAGAACCCGTTTCCAGACGTAACAATGCCAAACTACGTGTTGATCAACTCAAATATGATTACCATCACTTACAGGTAATTAGAACTATGTTAAACAATATTTAAAAAAATAATTTAACTTTTTTAACATAATAGTCAGCATTAAAAACACATCAACAAAACCACCAAAGAAGATTAAGAGCTGAACAGGAACGTGAAGAATTACTAAATCGCAGGTTTACAAGAAATGCTGACATCAATGATACAACAATATTAATCGATAGTTCCATACAGCATCAAAACTCACTACAGGTACCTTACCTTAAATTTCTTAGAATTTATTGAAATTGTTGTTTTAAGTACAAATTAATATTATTTTATTATTGATTTTAGGGAGCGTATCGTGGAGTAGATGATTTATTAGGCTCGGGTAACAGCATACTACAAAGTTTACGTGAACAACGTGATCGACTAACAGGTACACGGAACCGTTTATCAGGAATTTTCGGCTCCCTTAGGCTTTCCAATACTACTATGAAATACATTGAAAAAAGACTGACAGAAGATAGATACATACTTTATGGAGGAATGGCTATTACAATACTTATTATAGTCATAGTTATGATGTATTTCAGTTAATATTCATGTATATTTTTTTTTATTTTGCTGAGTAATATAATTCATAACCTATATTACTTTATAAAATAAATATTCTATTTTATTATTTAATAAATCTTTTTTAGAATAATTAATTTTATATAGCCGAACTTGTTTAACTTGAAATCATGAATACTTTGAATTTTCTATTAAAAAATATAAAATAAATTGTGTTTAAATCAAATATTTTGTGGAAAATTTGCAGTTTCAATTTTATTAAAGTCAGTGATATATGACATTCCAGTATTAATGTACATTTACTATCGAAAATTGCATTATCATGAATTATTAAAAAAAATATTGCTAATACTACAATCAATAACAAAATCTACCAACAAAAATAAAATAAATATATAATCTAATAATGTGTATACATGTATAACAATTTGAAAATACGTAATAAATAATTGGTTAATTTTAAAAAGAATTGCACTTAAATAACGTGAATAACATAATAAATGGTTTTAATACAAAATTGAATTGTATAATATTTTTTTTCTTGTAGAAAACTAACTTTCTGCTGGTTCTTTTAAATTCAAATTAACAATATTCTACTGTGTACTATGTAATGATTAAATAATTTTAAGTTTTTAGAGTAACAAAGCTGGTATGATGTCTTCTTGATATAAAAAATATTTGAAAATAATTTTTGATCTAGTCTTATATGTATTAATTATTATTAAACACTGACACCATTGTTGTATTAATTAAACTGTTTATTATTGTTTTATGTTATATTATTTATTATGTGCTGTTCCTTATTCAGATATGATAAATGTTTATTTTTTTATTTTTTATTATACGTTACATTAATTATTGTTTATTGATCTATGTATTTCAATTAATGCAGTATTTATAAATTAATATTACCTATGTGAAATTTTTAAAATAGATCATTTCATTAAGTATGTTTTTCTTTACTGTACTTCTGTTGATTATTATTTATTATACAACTAGTACACTATACCAATCACATAAAGTAAGAACAATCGTAAAGTCTCCTTATAAGAAACAAATTTGTCGTTAACAAATTAAATATTGTTCACTTAAGAAATAACTTAACAGAAAACAAAAATTAAATTGCTTACATTTGTTTATCGTGTTTATCTACTTTTTTTGTACAAATTATAATATTAAATGAAAACTTGGACAATGATAACAATTTTTGAATTGTGAAAGCTGACCATATATTTTTAAATGTTTGCCAAAATGTACATATTTTACAAATTTTTTTAAGGCATAGCTTTCAGCTAAATATAGTATAAAAGTAGTCTTTAATTAAACAATACAACTTTTTTTATTTTACTTACAATTTATTTGTCAGTGTTCGACAAAAATTTTATTTTAATTTATAAAATATAATACTTATTTATAAATATAAATTGAATATAAATATTTAAATTCTACCAAATAAACAATTTCTTAATTTGTATTTTTTTATTTTATAATTACGATAATGGGTTTTCTATTCTCACATTTATTATATTTTTGGTGTTGTTAAATCAATTGTTACCAGATAACCGGTAACTGACAAAAAAACAGTGTGATCCTATCCAATGGTCATTGTATTATAATCCTAAGTATATAATATTATAATATAAAAAATAACTAAATACTACACATACAATTTAATTTTCAGAAATTTTTATATTTATACAAAGTGTAGTAGAAAACTGACACATTTATTTTAGCAAGTGTTAATTCTAGGAAATTTTCCATAGGGGCATAGTCCCAAAGAATTTTTATTGTTGGGGTTGTTATCCCTAATTATTTGACATCTTTAAAATTAGATATTTCTTTTGCTATAACTAAAATCGTACATTAAACTAACAAAACATTATGATTTGTTAAATATTATTTTATTCTGTAAGGTTGAGAACTTCACTGCCAGCTGCTCTTAATTTTCAATCTAACCACAATCTTACACGTTTCTTTTCACTACATCTTCTCATCTCAAACATTATTTTTTTAAATATAATCATACAACTTTAATTATCTATCCATTTGTTCATTAATGATAATTTCATAAAATATATTTATTACTTTCATAAATATAAGATTTCTAAGCATCATACTTTTCTGAAAATTTGAATTAGTTAAATTTATTTTTCATTAGCTATCTTTAATTAAATAATGTTTTTAATTTATTTAATTTAACTCTAGATGGGAATTTTCATTTTTATTGGGTATTTTGAAATGGAAAATTAAATTATTGAATTTATTGTGGACGAAACCTACATGATATTATTCAGTATCTAATATGTTTGAGTGACTTTAAGAATTTGATGTTTGTGTAGATATTTAAAATTATTGAATTAAATTATAACGTGACCTCTAATTAGATTTTTGAATTTTATGTTTATATTTGTTTACAATTTACGGCGCTGTATTTTTTTCGGCTCTGACAAAGAATCCAAAAAATATTTCATGACGACAATGTGACGCCCGAAAATTATTGCTCGCACAATATAACGTACAGATTTGTCCAAACGGTTGGGTGATCGGTTTACCGCTATAGTTTGATGAAAAAACGCAGACGGTCGAATAATATTGTCTATTGAAATATTTTATTTTATTCGGCCGGTCGGCGTTTTCCACTTCTTTCAATCGTCCATCGACCGCGGCGCGCCAATCGACGGAGGTGTACAGCGGTTGAATTTCGTGTTTCCCGAAATTCTCACTACGGCGCGCGTCTAGCGGTCATCGTCGTCCAAATGTCGACCGTCTGGGCGCGCGCCGCTCACCACATCACTCTGTCACCGCCGTTCGTACGTTCACCACGTTCTTGTTCGTTGTTTGTGTTCCGTCCTACGTTTGCGCGCCATTACTGTTTGTCGTCGTTACCAGTTACCACCACCTTGGTATCTACACTCGAAAAACTCAATCTCCCCCCCCCCGGCGGAGAAAACGTCGGATGTTTTTTTTCTTCAGGCACGTAAATTCATCACGGCCGCCGTAAGTATAATATTAATACGACCGCACATTAACGAAATCATATCAGTACGATTTTTAAAATATTTAACTATTTGTTATTTTTTTTTTTCCTGTAATTATTCCGCTTTATCCGATACAAATTATCTATTTTTTTTTTTCACACATTGTTTATCTATTTAATATTTTTGTTATCTGTTATTTTGTCCGCGTTCACCGAGGTCGTAATAATTATTTATTATTATTATCGCTCAATCGTCGCTCCAAGAGATATTCGCGTCGCCTTCAATCCGGCACCGAACGGGATTGTCGATGGGTGTGTGTCTTGTGGCATGCATTTTATTTATTATCCGACATGACTAGATCCACACTCATCCATGTTCTCGGGTCTGTTCTCCGGGCCGTTGAAACGGCGCGGCGCCGCACTTGGTACCACGACGGCGAAGATTTCGGGCGCAACAAGTGCTCCCCTTTGGTTTGAACGCGGGGTTGCGCACATACTCGTTGCACGTGGATCTGTACAATACTTATGCCACCGATTCCGGCATTTCGGGCACACGGTTAGCCATGGTGACGGCGTCCGAACCGATAACCGGACGATAATTTTACCTAAATACCTATATTAAACTTATCATAGTATACCTATTTTGTTTTATTTTGCTATAAATTATAATGTTTCGATTATTGTAGAAGTGTCGGGATTCATTATTTTCCACACCGATAACATCGAATAGACGGTTTATATTTATTATTACAGTGACGCGCTTTATCGTATTATCATTGTTGGTTATTATCGCGTATGATGATGAGGTGGGTATGTCGAGGAGTTGGCGTTCGACTGATAAATATGTACATGTACTTTTAAATAAACCTAAAATATTTTTACCATTTATGTTTAAACTGTGTAGCTCGGTAAATGTTTGTCGTAAAAAATAGATAAATTTCCCTATTATTAATATTCGTATTATTAGATATATAATATTGTATTTCCCAAACGTATAGGTATTTGTAAAAGATTTATGAAAACTATAGTTACACAAAATAGTTAAAATATAATACCATGCCTCACTAGCTAGTCGTTAAGAAAAAAAAAAAAATGTTAATTCAGCGGTTCTTGTAATGTATTTTTTTTATTATTATTATTATTATTATTATGTCCTAGTTAATATTTGTTAATGAGCAGATGCAATGACATTGTTACGGATTGAATAACAATTTATGAAAAAATTTACAAAAAATAGCCTTGTATTTTCTCTTTTTCTATTTATAACCAAAAGCAGTAAGGGATCTTAGATAATATTAAAAATTGTTCAGAGATTTTTTCCCTTTTTTGTTAATCGTAGAGTTTTCTTTTAAAATAAAACGAATTTAATGAATATCACTTTCGCGTGAATTCGTTTTACATAATATAAGATTCGTATTACTTAATAATAATAATTAATATTAAGTTTTATAATATGTATATTGATATTTTTGCATGACATATATATTATTATTATTAGTTAGGTAAAAAAAAAGTTCTTCTCGTTTATAAGTGCTTTATATTCATAATGGAGTGTATACAAATGTATTTTATCGTTTTTAAGTTCGTTATATTGGTTGCCGTTTAAATCTTAGTAATGCACACTAATATAATAATAATAATGTTTCACCGTCATTACGTTTCGGAATCCTTATAACGGGCCTCTAACCTACATATATTATATATAAATATATAATATGTATTGTTATTATTATTTTTATGTACGTACATATTTGATTATATCGGCATTTAAAATATAATAATATTAAGCCTAATAATGTTTGTGACAAATTTTACATGTAGACGAAAAATTTAATTCAAGTCGCAATAATTATATTGTTATTAAGTTTCGAGGTATAGGTATGTATTAGTATTATGTTTTATAATTTTTCAACTCGTATGGTAACAATAAATAACAATGTTTAGATTAAAAATGTACGTTTTAATAATGATATTTAGATTAATTTTATTGTACAATTGTTTTTTTGATAAAAACAATACCTAATGTAAATAAAATAGGTTAGGTTAGGTTCGAATTAATCGAAAATTTAAAATTTTTCCCATTTATGAATTTTAATTTAGTAATGTGGTTTTCAATATTGGTAAATGTTGCAGTATGATCTGTTTTAACTCGTTAATTACCTATTATATTATTATTCATTATAATACTATAGTTATATAAGTTTATTTATATATTAAAATTCTACAATTATGGGGTCACTGGCATATCGAACTTAATAATATAGAAGCAAATCATATTTTCACAACCATCGCCCACGCCAATTTAGCAATTTGTAATCACATATGGTTGTACATTTAGTACTGTGTCCCTCCTAAACATTCAAATTTCACAAAAAAACTAACCACCCACCTTCTAAATTTCAGAAGTAGACGTTTCTGAAAACCATGGTTCGCCCCGTCACTGAGGGAGATTAAGGGGTGGTCAACAATTTATATTTCCTGCATGATTTTTTTGATAATAGTATACGTAATAATATACGTTATATTACCTAAATATGTAAAAAAAACAAAATCTAAATATTAATGATTATTAAAAAATTAGACTTATTCTCTCTACCCCATCCACGACAAAATCATTTGATCGACACTGGGAACAAACCTATAATATTATGTATCATAGAAATTAATCTCTACTCTGATGGATATAATTAATATATACCTACCAACGTACTTTGCAGTGTTGCTGAATTGAATAAAGAAGATCAATGTGGCAACTCGGACTTTTCAAGCTCGTTATTGTGGAAGGGAAGGTTCAAATGTTATACATTAGAACGTTAAAATTTGAATATAAAGTAAAAAAACATCTTAGACAACCCCCCCTGAAATTTTAACTCTTAAAACTTAAAAAATTCTATATTGCCTACATTAGGTTTTAGATTCCGAGGAGCAAAGAAGCTTATGGTTTTACAAAGATGTTTATTTTAATTTTATTTTACTGTGGACAACTTTTCTACCAGAGGACTTGCTCCGATTTTTATATTTAGCAACTTTTCTGAAAATAAATCGGTGTGGGAAGATATCTAAATCTTAGGTCGTTTTTCGATTTTCCCCGGAGTATTTTCAGCAAATGTGTAAAACTGGGAAAACCAGGAAAAGCGTAGGGAAAACCCGGGGGGGAGGGTTCATCCAGCAATCGGTTTTTTTGTTAAAAATAGTTTATCGTTGCTTACAGGTATACATTAAATTACCTATAAGAGTGGCTCCTCGCTAGTTGCTACGCTCCGAGTCTAAAATATCATTGTAAAACTTATATATTCCTTGCTTTGTTCATAATCTAAAACTTCCTTTGACTCTTCAGAAATAATCGCTGTCTCACATAGTTAAATGAATCAATATACCTAACCTAACATTAATCCTTTTAATTTTTTTTGAATAGTTAATTTTATTGTATAAGAACAATAGTATATAGTTTAACATGATTAATAAACATAATGAAATACAAATATCTACTTTCTTTAAGCAAATGCTTGTTTTGGTTGTAGAGAGTTAAAAATAATATATAAACACTAAAATTACAAAATATACTTTAAAAAAACTAGATAGAAACTATTTTTACATTTGTACACATAAGATAATTGAATTCAATCGAATTGTGTATTATTTAAAAATAATTCCTTAATCTAAAACTATAAATAGACAATTGATTTTTTTGTTTTATAACTTGGCTGACTAGGTTTAATTTTTTTTTTTGTGCACAACTTTTCTACTGGCAATTATACTCCGAGTATAACACTTATTTTTTTATTTTCATTTAGAACAACTTTTCTGAAAGGAAATTTTATTTTATAGTAGAGGTCATTTTTTTATTTTCTAATATTTTTTCAAAATAATTTAGAAAAACCGGGAAAAAAATTATAAGTAAAACGGCAAATTTTTACAGCGTGTCCGCGTACCGTGTTTTCATTGCTTTTAATTTTTCTGGACGATATTTTTTACCAGAAATATTGATCCAATCGAAAAATAACAAGAGACCGATTTTTCTCCTTTTAATATTTCGCTACTAACAGAAAAAGTCGTTTTTCGATGAAATCGTAAAAATTATGACATTTCAAAACATGTCTTATCGTCTACCGAACTTCGCTCCGAATAGTTTTTTGCTATAGTAATAATAATATAGTAGTAACTATAGTAGTAATAATAATAATAATAATAGTTTATCGTTGCAGATATAAATTAAATAACTTTATGTATCCTATCTTCCCTAATTTCTGTAACAGTGGCACCCATCCTCAATATCATATTTTTTTTTCCAGCGTGGTTGTTTTATAGACGGCTACCCGGTATACTTGTAATTGCAACTGGAGTTTTTTTTCAACGGGGATCTTGAAAGGTGAAACGCCCTATTCGTGCCCTTAGTTTTAGCCGCGCACCCCGGGCTGTCACCCGCGTCACCACCGTAGTTCCGTAAAATTAGTATTTCCGTGAAATAAAATTCCGATAGAAGGCCGATAAGAAAACCAAAATTAATTTGTTTTTTCTTTTCTATTTATTTATAGAATTTATTATTAGAATTCCATTATTATATATTAATAACAGATATAAATATACCACCCCTATGTGTCTAAGCTTGTGTTAGAGTACCTAGTTTCTAATTTGGAGAGTTCTCATTCCAGTTTTATAATTGACATTGAAAGACAACATGAAATAAAATAACTTAATTAAATTAAATGCATATTTTTATTGTGAGATTAGTAATTCTGAGAACAACCACTTTTAAACTATTTTTTTAATATTCGTGACTCCAAGTTT